TCATGAGCACCCTCTGCTAGGTGCTCTAGCATAACAAGTATATAGGAGAATAAGCATAGTTTCCTACATGCAAGAGGTCTCAATCTGTAAGTGGAAATGTTCCTAGAAACATGACATCCTTCCATGAGGAAGAATAAAAATAGACCTGTAATTATGGCTTTGTAGTGTGTTACTGGAGAAAAGTTAATTCTCAGTTAATTCTCATTGGAACTGCAATAAAGAAGAGTTTGAAGCTTCAAACATGCTTAAGGAGATAGAAATGTTAATTACTCTGATTAGATAATTACATCTTGAATTATCATGCCATATCTTAAAATATGTACAAAAAGTAAAAACATTCTAGGCAATATTGCTATGAAATATAATATGAAATAATTCTTAAACCAATAGGATTCAGTTTTAGCTCCTTTTTAACCCTTTGCATGAAAGCAACAACCCTGAACTGGGAAAAACTGTGAAGATATAGATAAGCATATTTAGTAAATATGCAAAAAAATTTGTTTCTTTTCACTGGAAACAAGTGAGAGAAAACCACATTTTTTTTCTTGGGATATTTACTTAAATTATCTTTACTTTTTGTTTGTTTGTTGATTGTGGGGATTGAATTTGGGGCCTGGGCGCTGTCCCTGAGCTTTTTCCCTTAAGGCTAGTGCTTTACCACTTTCAGTTCCAGTTTTCTGGTGATTAATTGGAGATAAGTCTCACAGACTTTCCTATCTGGGCTGGTTTTGAATCATGATCCTCAGATCTCAGCCTCCTGAGTAGCTAGGATTATAGCCATGAGCAACTGGCACCCGGCTGTTTACTTATTTTGAATAGACAATTTATTCAAATGGTAAGTAATTGAAAGCACATATAAATATATTGGAACAAACATGTCAAAAGTCCAACACCAGAATCCCAGAATCATATACAACAAAAAAAAGACTTCTATTAAGAATATACAAAGGCCAGGTGCTAAAATAGGGTCAAGTCAGGGGACAGGGCCACAGAAAACTCAAAAGAATTTCCCAAGTTCAAGGCACAGGACTGACATCCAAGTCCCTGCCCCTGCATCTAAGAATTCAGGCATGCCTATCACCTGGAAGGTGGGACTTCCCCTTCCTCCACCATGAAGACAAGATGACTCCAGTTAAACCCAATTTCCTGCCCACCACGGGTCAAGCTGGCTCCAGTTAGACCCAGCATCACCATTTCAATATATTCATAATAACAGCAGGAGAGGAAGGGATTAAGCAGAAATAGTAAGTGTTTGAGATCGCACATTGAAACCTCTTTTAACTGCTGTTAAATCAAGTGGAACATCCAAGATCAATATTAATGAGACAGGTAACTAGACTTTTCTCGTGCTTATGGACAGTACTGAAAAATAATAGCAAACTATGCAGTCTTATGTCCTAATCCCTAATCTGTTCCTCAATATTATATATATATATATATGTATATATAAATGCACAGATTATTATATAGCAGACATACTATTTTATAGTTTGCTTTTTATTTTATTTTGGAGACTTTTTATTGTGCACTGGTACTAAGGCTCGAGATTGGCCTAAACATTGCCCCTTAGCTTTTTGCCTCAAGATTGGCCCTCTACCACTTGAGCCACACCTTGGAGACTTTGATTTTCAATATATAAAAGGCTTCCAGCTGGGCACCAGTGGTTCATGCCTATAATCCTAGCTGCTTGGAAGACTAAGATGAGAAAGATTGTAGTTCAAGGCCAGCCCAGGAGAAAAAGGTCATGAGACCCCTTGTTAGAGTATATTAGACTTTGCCAGAAAACCAACCAGACATCTAGGTACAAAGAAAAAAGAAAAGGTTTATTGCCAATAAAGGGACTGGCAAGACCCCTTCTCACAAGAGAGGAGGGAGAAGTGCCGGCTATTGTCTGAGGTGACCTACATAACCTACTGAGGCTAGGAGGAGCTAGAAGGGGCTAGGAGACAGAGACCCCGGTGTGGATGTGAGGGCCAGGGGTTTCATCATGGAAGACTAGGATTTATGGCTGCTGCCCAAGTGGTAGATAAGGGGCACTGCAGCTGCCCAGACCCAAAGGTCACTCTAAGGGGCTCTTGCTGCTTTATATGGTGGTAGCTGCCCCAGAGGAGTGCCATCACAAAGCGGAGGGTGGGGGGGGGGGGGAAGAGGGGAGTGGAGTCTGGTTGTTTACTTCCTTTTCTAAATGGGCCTAGTGTTGCCTAGGAAGGGAGCATGCTAAGCTGTGGAGAGGGGAAGGAACATGCTAAGCTACAGGAAGGGAGCTAAATGGGCTAACACCACTTCTCAAATTTTTATGCACCTGTTGTTCCAAACTATGTGGGAAGGTGAAATTGGGAGTTTCAGAAGGATGGCAATTCCAGGCTTGCCTAGACAGAAGGTTCTGAGAAACTCCATCTCCATGAAGGGAAGCTGAATGTACTAGTGTGTGCCTATGATCTCAGCAATGGCAAGAAGCCTAAAGTAAGCAGATTAGAGCTCAAGCATTTTCCTAGGTGGAATCAATCTCAAAAAACTCCCATCAAAATACAAGGCTAATTGTAATCAAAACAGCTTAGTACTGGCACAAGAACAGACCTCAGGACCAATGGAATAGAACTGAAAACACAGAAATGAACCCACAGGCCTATAGCCTCCTAATCTTTGGTAAAGGAGCTAAAAAAAGTAGAGTGGAAGAAGGACAGCCTCTTCAGTAAATGGTGCTGGCAAAATTGGTTAAATACCTATAGAAAACTAAAGCCAGATCCTTATATATCACCCTGCACCAGAATCAACTCCAATGGATCAAAGACCTCGAAGTCAAAATAGACACCCTGAAAACATGACAGGAAGGAATAGGAGAAACTCTTAGGGCTCCTTGGCACAGGCTGAAATTTTCTTTTCTTTTCTTTTTTTTTGGGGGGGGGGTCTGGTCATGGGGCCTGAACTCTGGGCCTGGGCGCTGTCCCTCAGCTCTTCAGCTCAAGGCTAGCATTCTACCACTTGAGCCACAGCACCACTTCCGGCTTTTTTTTCTTTTTGCTTAAGTGGTGCTGAGGAATCGAACCCAGGGCCTCTGGCATGCAAGGCATAAGCTCTACCACTGAGCCACCTTCCCAGCCCCTGAAAATTTCTTTTTTTTTTTTTTTTTTGTCGGTCGTGGGGGCTTGAACTCTGGGCCTGGGCGCTGTCCCTCAGCTCTTCAGCTCAAGGCGAGCGCTCTACCACTTGAGCTACAGCGCCACTTCCGGTTTTCTGGTGGTTTATTGGAGATAGGAGTCTCACGGTCTCTCCTGCCCGGGCTGGCTTTGAACCACGATCCTCAGATCTCAGCCTCCTGAGTAGCTAGGATTACAGGCGTGAGCCACCAGCGCCCGGCCCCTGAAAATTTCTTAATAAAGACCCAGAAACAAATCAAAAGAAAGGTTGGACAAATGGGATTTCATGAAACTGCAGAGCTTCTGCATGGCAAAGGGTACAGCTAGCAAGATCAATAGAAAGCCTATGGATCGGGAGAAGATCTTCACTAACCATACAACGGACAAGGGTCTCATATCTAAAATATACCTGGAACTCAAAAAATTAAATCCCCTAATAATAAATCCTCAAAGAAACAACTGTGGGATAAATAAGTGGGCTAAAGACTTAAAGAGAAACTTCTCTGAAGAGGAAAGGATGGCCAATACACACATGAAGAAATGCTCAACCTCTCTAGCCATAAAAGAAATGCAAATCAAAACAACATTGAGATTCCAACTCACCCCAGTTAGAATGGCTATAATCAAGAACTGTAGTAACAACAGATGCTGGAGGGGATGTGGACAGAAGGGAACCCTACTGCATTGTTGGTGGGAGTGTAACCTTGTTCAACCACTTTGGAAAGCAGTATGGAGGTTACTCAAAAGACTCCACATAGAGCTCCCCTATGACCCAGCAATCCCACTTTTGGGCATTTACCCAAACGATCACAAACAAGGCTATACTAACACTACCAGCACAACCATGTTTATTGCAGCATTATTTACCATAGCTAAGATATGGAACCAACCCAGATGCCCCTCAGTAGATGAATGGATCAAGAAATGTGGAATTCTATGCCTGCATCAGAAAGAATGGCATCGCCCTATTAGTTAGGAAAGGGAGAAACTTAGGTCCCATGCTTTCCCTTATTTACAATAGCTAGTGTAAGCAAGCCTAGGACAAATAGAAAAGGTCAAAAGCTATGTACATATGACCATATAAGATGATGTTAAGTGAAATGAACCCCAAGATAGGGACACAAGTGTTTTTTTTCTTTCTTGCTATTGTTTTTAACATATTTAAAATGTACTATATGATTTTTTTGTTTCTCTTGTATATTCTTTCCCCACGGTATAACCCCTGTTTTCACTGTATTTGATGTTGGTGCCCTGCATCTTGTTTATACATTTTTCTAATTTGGGGAGGGGAAGGGAAATAACAAAATGCTGAAATAAGGATATAGGTTGAACCATTGTAACAATGAAATGTACAAAACACTACGTTGAAAATGAACTTTACAACTTGGTGGGGGGTAGGGAGGAGTTGGGAAGGTGGGGAGGGAAGGGATGGTAGGGGAAAAACAAAGGTGGAGGTAACAATGCTTGATAGGAAATGTACTCATTACCTTATACATGTAACTGTAACCCCTGTGTACAGTATTTTTATAATAAAAAAAAAACGAAAAATACAAGGCTAGGCGTGTGGTTCAAGTGGTAGAGAGCTAGTACAACAAAGTGTGAGGCTCTGAGTTCAAAATCTAGTAATTGACAAAGAAATCCTTCCCTGTTGCTATTTTACTACTATGTATCAGAAAACATATATGTTTAGAACATATATACTCTAATCTAAATCAATATGGTGGCTTTGAATTATTTGGTATTATACAAGATTGAGTAGTTGGTTTCACATACTCATCAGTTTGTATATGTGGAATGGGATTTGTATAGATCTGAAAAAAATTTCAATAAATCCTAATAGCAAGGAATTTTATTTTGGTTTAGGTCTTGCCAAAAAAGCAACCCTGATGGAACCAAAACTGAGCATTTTGGGAGATCAAGTGGTGATCCAAGCTGGCGGAACATTTGACATTACCTGCAGGTAATAGTGTCAAGGCCAATCATCACATCCTGGTTAAAAGACTCATAGTAGGAAGTTCAAAATGTTGATTTTTTTTGTTCATACCATACAATATTTAATTTCTTTTCCAATTGTACAAAATAGATTCTGGAGGTTCAGGTATACTTCTTGGGGTAGAGCAAGTAATTTTGTAAGTACTTTTCTTTTAAACTCTCATCTTTTTCTCATCATTTTCTTTCAGGCATCTGAGGAAGTTAGTTTGAGTCATATAATATTTAATATACCCAATGTCTTCACCAGTATTCTTGAAGAGAAAGTTGCCGTTAATTATTTGTTTTTAATAATGTTGCAAAATGTGTGATACTGTAGTCTTAATCTGGTCAAAGTTGCATTTAATGGAACTCTCTTTTGAATAGTACTTATTTCTTTAATGTCTACATTGTTACTTTTCCTGTATATGTGCATGTGCATAGCTAAAAGAACAAGTCCACATTTTCAGAAATCTTGTGTGTGTGTGTGTGTGTGTCTATGTGTGTACACACGGGCGTGCCAGTCCTCATACTTGAATTCAGGACCTGGGTACCATGCCTGAGCTTTTGTATTCAAGGCTAGCACTCTACCATTTGAGCCACAGCTCCGCTTCTGGCATTTTGGTAGTTAATTGGAGATGAGTCTCTTGGACTTTCCTGCCCCAGCTTGCTTAGCACAGTGATCCTTAGATCTCAGTCTCTTGAGTAGTGTGGATTACAGGTATGAGTCACAGGCACCTGGCATTTTTGAAATCTTTAAAGAACTTTTAAAGGGTTTTCTATCTCTTTCCATTTGTACTCTTTCTCTTGATGAATTAGTAGAAAATGGTAGATCTAGAAGAAAGAAGAAAATTCAGCTAGAAATAATCAATTAGAATTTCACATTATAACAGTAGCTGTGGTTGTATGAGAGATTATGTAGGCTAGAGTCAGATATAGGAATCAGTCACAAAAATTAGATGGGACCTTAAACAAACCCAGATGACAAGAGTAAGGGAGAATGTTAGGATCATAATCTGGAGGAGATCCTGTACTTAAGGTCAGAGGGAATGCAAAGGGGAGTTAGGACAGTGCATAGAAAATGGAGGGAGAAACAGGAAGAATTATTAAAGTGTGGGGATCAGTTGGAGTATGAGGAAAGAGGAAGATATAGGTCAGGAGTGAAGAGGATTGAAGTTAATCACACACATTCTAAGAGCATAATGAAACCCATCATGGAGACTGATAGAGGTTAAGGACATATAATAGAGAGGGTACACTTGTTTAAAAAGACACAGTGGTGGGCTGGGAAGGTGGCTCAGTGGTAGAGTGCTAGCTTCACATGCATGAAGTCCTGGGTTCAATTCCTCAGTACCACATAAGCAGAAAGAGCCAGAAGTGGCACTCTGGCTCAAGTGGTAGAGCACTAGCCTTGAGCTAAAGTGCTCAGGGACAGTGCCCAGGCCCAGAGTTCAAGATCCATGACTGACAAAAATAAATAAATAAATAAATAAAAGACAGTGTATATATTGTGTGTATTGTAATTTGTGGAATTATGATCAAACTCTCTTGCACTGTTAATAATATACTAATAAAAACAAGAGTATTCAAATTTTGTGCTACATACAGGTGTAGGTGCTTAATGAATACATATTGGATTTTTATCAAACTGAAAAAGAACAGATTCTCACTACTTCTTAAAATAGACTGTGTGGCAGTATATCAGTAAGGATTAGGTTGGGATACATGGAATAGAAAGCTCAAAGTAACTGACTTTTAGATACAGGGTTTGATTATTTCAGGAGTAAAGCTTAGAAAGTAGGTATGGGAGCCGGGCGCTGGTGGCTCACGCCTGTAATCCTAGCTACTCAGGAGGCTGAGATCTGAGGATCTCGGTTCAAAGCCAGCCCGGGCAGGAGAGACCGTGAGACTCCTATCTCCAATAAACCACCAGAAAACCGGAAGTGGCGCTGTAGCTCAAGTGGTAGAGCGCTCGCCTTGAGCTGAAGAGCTGAGGGACAGCGCCCAGGCCCAGAGTTCAAGTCCCATGACCGACAAAAAAAAAAAAAAAGAAAGTAGGTATGGGGGCCTGTATGGCATTTATATGAAGTCATTAGAAATTCAGCTGTCCAGAAGATTACACTTCAGGATATAGAAAAGATAATTGAACATTCATATACAGTACATACCTTTAATATTTGTCATATTCTAATTATGTAAACAGCCCAGATGCTCAAAAATGTAAGAATAACATGTTATTTGCAAGGAAATGGATGAACTTGAACAAAATTATGCTAAGTGAAGTAATTCAGGCTCATATTCTGAAGTTAGATCAAAATTATAAACACAAGAGCTGGGCACCTGTGGCTCACTCACATCTGTAATCCTAGCTACTCAAGAGGCTGAGATCTGAGGATCATGGTTCAAAGCCAGCCCAGGCAGGAAAGTCCATGAGACTCTTATCTCCAATAAACCATTAGAAAACCAGAAGTGATTCTGTGGCTCAAGTGACAGAGCACTAGCCTTGAGCTGAAGAGCTGAGGGACCGTGCCCAGGCCCAGAGTTCAATACCTATGACTGACAAAAAAAATACATACAGGATCATTTCATATACGTACAAAGAAATTACAGTATTATATACAAAGGAGGATTCCAATGGTGCAAGTTTTCTGAACAACTGAGTTACAGTTTTAAAAGTGCCAGAAAGAAGGAACATGTTTTGCCAGAAGTGGGGCTTAAGGGGGAGGGGCAGACAAATGGAGAGAGGCAGGATGGTCAAATACAGTCATAATATTCAATGTACATATATGAAAATGGAACCAGGTAACTTGAAGGGATAGCTGGGTTTGGGAGAGATGGAGGAGAAAGATAGGAGGGGTGACATTAATAATGATGTATTGTGTTCACCAGAAAAGAAATAATGATGTATTGTACTCGTAAGGTGACATATCCAATTAAAAAAAAATTCAGACTTGTTCTGTAGCATAACTGTTTTCTTTTACTAATGACTACTATTATGTAGTCTTCTTATGTACCCAAGGCTAGCTTGAAAACTTGTGATCATCCTGCCTCAGCTTCCCAAGTACCAGGATTTTAGGCTTGTGCTATCATTCTAAAAAGAATTTTTGAATACCCATTACCTATCATACTTAACTGATCACATATGCCTTTTTTTCCTTATTTGTTCATATATACATTTCCTCATTTATTTGTTATGTGGAAAATAGCCTATGAATACAGGCAAATTATAATTTCTTCTCTTAGTGTTAAAACAAATTATTTTTATTTACTTAAAAATTTTTATTGTAGGGGCTGGGAAGGTGGCTCAGTGGTAGAGCGCTTGCCTTGCATGCTCGAGGCCCTGGGTTCGATTCCTCAGCCCCACATAAGCAAAAAGAAAAAAAAAAGCCGGAAGTGGCACTGTGGCTCAAGTGGTAGAGTGCTAGCCTTGAGCTGAAGAGCTGAGGGACAGCGCCCAGGCCCAGAGTTCAGGCCCCACGACCGGACCAAAAAAAAAAAAATTTTTTTTATTGTAATTGTTATGGTGATGTGCAGAGATGTAACAGATATTATATGTCAGGTAAAGAGTACATTTCTTTTTTCCCTTCTCCTCCTCCTCCTCTTCTTCCTCCTCCTTTTCTTTTTTGCTGGTCCTGGAGCTTGAACTCAGCCTGGGCACTGCCCCTGAGCCTTTCTGTGCTGAAGGCTAGCACACTACCACTTGAGCCACAGCTCTACTTCCAGCTTTTTTTTCTGAGTAGTTTATTGGAGATAAGAGTCTCACTGACTTTCTTGCCCAGGCTGGCTTGGAACTGTAATCCTCAGATCTCAGCCTTCTGAGTAGGTAGGATTACAGGTGTAAATCAACAGCACCAGGCTTAAGAGTACACTTCTTTTTGTATAATGTCACTCTTACCCTTGTTCTCTCCCAGTTTTTCCCTCCCATTCCCCACCTATAAGTTGTATAGTTAATTTTCAACATAGTGTCCAGTGAATAGCATTGCTACATTTGTTCACCTGTTATTATATTTCTGTGCCTCCCCTTACACTCCCAAACACATATAAACAAACAGAACAAAAAGAAAAGAGAACAAAAACAGCAAAAAGAAAAAAAGTCTCTTGTTTCCATTTCCTGGAGTTCATTTGGATAAGTATTATTTTCAGTGATCAGATGAACATAGGCATTGTGCCTTTCTGTTCCTCTCCTAAGAGTATCCTCCTTTGGTCTCACTGTGCGTGAATGCCTATAGACCTGTATAATTTATTATTATCTTTTTTTGTCGGTCGTGGGGCTTGAACTCAGGGCTTGGGCACGTCCCTCAGCTCTTCAGCTCAAGGTGAGCACTCTACCATTTGAGCCACAGCGCCACTTCTGGTTTTCCAGTGGTTTATTGGACATAAATGTCTCACAGACTTTCTTGCCCAGGCTGGCTTTGAACCGAGATCCTCAGATCTCAGCCTCCTGAGTAGTAAGGATTACAGGCGTGAGCCACCGGCGCCTGGCCTAATTTATTATATCTGACATTGAGGTCTTTGATCCACTTTGAGTCAATACTTGTGCATGGTAGCAGAAATCCTCTTTTAGATTTCTCTTTATGGATGCCCAGTTTTTCCAACACCAATTATTGAAGAGGCTATTTTTTCTACTGTATATCTTTGGCTCTTTTATCAAATACCAGAGAACTGTAAGTATATGGTTTTATTTCTGGGTCTTCTAGTCTGTTCCATTCATCTCCAGGTCTATTTTTGTGTCAATACCAAGCTGTTTTTATTATTATAGCTCTGTAGTAAGGCTTGAGGTCTGGGATTGTGATACTACAAGCATTTTCTTTTTTTTTACTAAAATTGCTTTGACTATTCTAGGTCTTTTGTTGTTCCATATGAATTTTGGATTGTTTATCTCCATAAAGAACACCATTGGGATTTTGTTGAAGATTGTATTAAATTTGTAGATAATTTTTGGCAGTATGGCAATTTTTATAATGTTAATTCCACCTATCCATGAACATGGAAGGTCTTTCTATTCCCTGATGTCATCTTTGATTTCTTCAAAATTTTTTTTGATTTCTTCAAATTTTTATAGTTTTTGCTATAAAGATCTTTTGCTTGTTTGGCAAAGTTTATTCTTAGATAATTTATTTTTTTGAGGCCATTGCAAATGGAGTTGTTTTCCTGATTTCCCTTAAAATAAATTATTAATTTAATGTGTGTCTGCTGTAGGAGAAAAATATTTTGGTTGATGGTAGGAAAGCCCATGCATGCATACTGGGTAAGATGTAATCTCTGCTTTCAGGAAATCACTTCACAGTTGAATAAGAGATATAGCCACCTTGAAAACAGTTGCTGAAGGCAAGAACTCAGAAGTAGAAATTTCAAGTTATATTTGGAATGAAGAATGTTTATGAAAAAGAAATGACCTCATCAAAGTCTTAGAAATTATTATCAAAGCCAGACACCTGCCTGTGGCTCACACCTAGCTACTGAGAAAGTTGAGGATTGAGGTTCAAAGCCATTCCAGGCAGGAAAGTCCATGTGAGACTCATTTTTTTTTTTTGTCGGTCATGGGGCTTGAACTCTGGGCCTGGGCACTGTCCCTGTGCTCTTCAGCTCAAAGCGAGCACTGTACCACTTGAGCCACAGCGCCACTTCCAGTTCTCTAGTGGTTTATTGAAGATAAGAGTCTCACCGGTGTCCGGCTGAGACTCTTATCTTGAATTAGCCAGCAATAAAATGATGTACAAGACACTATGTTGAAAAAGAACTTTACAACTTTGTGGTGGGGAGGGAGGAGTTGGGGAGGTGGGGAGGGATGTGATGGTAGGGGAGAAACAAAGGAGAGGGTAATAATGCTCAATAGGAAATGGGACTTATTACCTTGCTCATGTAACTGTAACCCCTCTGTACAGTATCTTTACACTAAAAAAAATATTAAAAAAAACAAACCTGGAAGTAGATGTGCGGCTCAAGTGGTAAAGTGCCAGTCTTCAGTAAATAAGCTAAAGGACAATGCCCAGGCCCTGAGTTCAAACCCCAATACCATCACACAAACACACAAGAAAGAACTTGTATTATTTATCTTTCAAAGAATTTCATATGCTTGGTATATTTTAGACCCACATCAATCCCATGGTTTGGGCTATAACACATTGTGCTTTGTGAATTCATTCTACAGTGTTTATTTAGGATCTGACATTGTAGTTGGAGAGACAGATAATAAATGTAATGAATAGGAAAGTTGTATGTATGGTATATTAGAAGATGGTAAGTGCAGTGAAGAAAGTAGCAGAGTATGGTAATGGAGAATGAAGAGAAAGTCTTCAAAATGCTTGTTCAGAGTAGAAGTGTCCTGTGTACAGAGAGGTAATGGGAATGAATGATGGAGCCAAATGGGTTTCTGGAAGGCGAGCATTCTGGAGAAAAGGAATAGAAAAAATGCAAAGACTATGAGTAAGGTTTGGATACGATCTAGGAACAGAAAGAATGATGACATGGCTGGAATAAAATAATTGACAAGAAGAAAGATAGGAGATTAAGCTGAAGAGTTAGTAGGATTGTGTAGACTGTGGTGAAGATTTTACATTTATCCAGAATATCATGGGAAGTCATTGGAAGAATTATAATAGGAGAATATTTGACCTGAAACATCCTTTCAAAGACTCTGGCAGCTACAAGAGTGAAGAGAGATTTTTTTGAGCAAGTCAGCAGACTACTATGGTGATTCAGGATGAGAGATGAAGGGAACTCTGACAAAAATGCCAACAATAAAGGAGATAATATGTGCTTTGGTAGGACCCACAAGATTTAATGATAGATTGAAGTATAGTATGAATAATAAGATTCAAGGATGAAAGGATGATCCCCATCATTGATAATGATGACGATCACAAGTAGCTATCATTTTGGGGTACTTACATTATACCATTCTTGGTTCTTTGTAAAATTCTTATTTTACATAGGTTGATTGACTAAATCAAAACAATTTTTTTTTTTTGGGGTCCGGTCGTGGGGCCTGAACTCTGGGTCTGGGCACTGTCCCTCAGCTCTTCAGCTCAAGGCTAGCGCTCTACCACTTGAGCCACAGTGCCACTTCTGGCTTTTTTCTTTTTGCTTATGTGGTGCTGAGGAATCGAACCCAGGGCCTCATGCATGCAAGGCAAGCACTCTACCACTGAGCCACCTTCCTAGCCCCCAAAATAACTTTTTTTAGTGGGTCCTGTGGCTTGAACTCAGCCTGGGTGCTGTCCCTGAGCTTTTTTTGCTCAAAGCCAGCACTGTACAAGTTGAGGCACAGTGCCACTTTCAGTTTTTTTGAGTAGTTTATTGGAGTTGAGTCTCTTTGGTAAAGCATGTTTCCACAGATTTCTTGCCTAAACAATGGAAAAATAAAGTTATTAATATTAAATAATTCCTTACATTGAAGCAAATATTGTCCAAGATTTCATTGGTGATATGAGATGACTTTAAGGGAAAAAGGAGTTGTATGAATTTCCCAAATTCAGTGAGGATTCTGTGGTAGAAATCGAAGTATCAGATGAGGGCTTGAATTGATTGATTCTAGGCCCAGCAGTTTTATAAGTAATGCAGCTAATTTTTGTAGGTCTTATAAGCTAGTTGTAAAAAAAATAGGATACAATTTGTAGTAAAGCCAAAAATATTTGTATGACCCTTTTTTTGTCAGTTGTAGGGCTTGAACTCAGGGATTGGGCACTGTCCCTGAGCTTCTTTTGCTCAAAGCTAGCGAATTACCACTTGAACCACAGCACCACTTCCAGCTTTTTCTGTTTATGTGGTATTGAGGAATAGAACCCAGGGCTTTGTGCATGCTAGGCAAGCACTCTACCACTAAGCCACATTCCCAGCCCTGTATGACCCTTTAAAGGAAACCTTTTATATATTCCTAAGCTAAAATGCTGTCTGCTTATTTATTTCCGTTTCTGAGCACAAGGCAAACCATGTGTGCTATTCCTGGGTGAGGATTATCATAGATCAGATTGGGTTCCACTGGAGCATTTCTTTTTCTTTTCTTTTTTTGTCAGTCATGGGGCTTGAACTCTGGGCCTAGGTGCTGTCCGTCAGCTCTTCAGCTCAAGGCTAGTGCTCTACCACTTGAGCCACAGTGCCACTTCTGGCTTTTTTCTTTTTGCTTATGTGGTGCTGAGGAATCGAACTCAGGGCCTCATGCATGCAAGGCAAGTGCGCTACCACTGAGCCACCTTCCCAGCCCCAGGCAAGGCTCTTTACTTCTTGTGTCTTAGTATTCTCACTTCTCAAGTGCAAACAAAATGAGGAAATACCTCAGAAACCATGTAATTCAGTATTTCTTTATACTTTTAGGAGTTTATTGTCCCAAATTCTAAATCCTATCTATTGATGGAAAGAGCTGGCCTGGAGGTGAAGAGTAAGGTGAAGAGGACTTGCAGTAGAGGGGAGAGAAAAAGACCCCACTCTTGTCTTTGGAGCTTACCTATGCTTCAGATGTTTCTCAAGCCCATAGATGAACATTCTAATCCTAATGATCAATTCTTTCAAGCTATCTATTATAGTGCTCCAGATTAAAAAGTGAGAGTACAACCAGACCTGGCTTAGCATGATTTCTTTTGTATTTTTTTCAGAGGATTGGCTGCCATGACCTGGAGATGGCGTACTGGACCTGCAACTGATCGAGCCCGCATCTTGGAGCATCCCTGCTCTGATAACCCCCTTTTCACTTGCAACCAGCTCACCATCTTCCGCACAGAAGCTGGGGACACTGGCTACTTCACATGTAGCTACAAGGATGTTGCTGACACCAAGGATCCTAATGGCAAGGCCAGTGTCTATGTGTATGTCAAAGGTGAGTGTGTACTTGTTACCTTAGGACTGAAAGATACAGCATTTTCCTGGAAGTCCTATATATTATTTTATGCACAATAATGCATATATTATATATACTACATATTAATGTTATGTATAACACATCCTATATAATGTATAATGATATATGGATATCTATATATGTTGTATATATATGTGTTATATAATAATGTACTTATGTATGATACTGTGCCATGTATTTAAATAGAAATATATATTATATGCATATTTAAATATATATATATTATAGATATAATAATACCTTGGAAGAAGTTGGAATGTTTTATATGGTAAATAAAGGAGACCGTAAAGGACAATAAAGAAGAACCACATTTTATTCTGTGTGTGTGTGTGTGTGTGTCTGTGTGTGTCTGTGTCTGTGTGTCTTTGTCTGTGTGTCTGTGTATGTGTGTGTTGGTCATGGGCCTGGGATCTGTCCCTGAGACTTTTTGCTCAAGGCTAGCAATCTAACACTGAGCCATGGCATCACTTCCAGTTTTGGGGTGGTTAATTGGTGATAAAAGTCTCATGGATTCACAGACTTTCCTGCCCTGGCTGGCTTTGAATCATGATCCTCAGATTTCAGCTTCCTGAGTCAGGTGTGAGCCACTGGTGCCTAGCTCATTTTATGTTGTTTGACTTCTGTTAATAATGTCCATTTGTGCCTTTACAGTCTCATGTTTTGTAGAGGGGAAGTTTTCCCTGGGGGAAAAATAGACAAAAATATGAGTTAGGTCCCAGTTTCTTTTAATAATGATAACAAATATGTATCTCCTTCTTATTATGTGTCAGGCAGTATATACCAAGTTCATTTATAAAAATGATTTTAATAATCTTTTAAGTAGTTGTACAAAGGAGTGCCATTTAACAAAACAGTTTATGAATACAATGCATCATGATCAGTGTCACCACCTTCAACATTGTCACCCTACTTTGCCAAGTTCTTTATAAATACTAACACATTTACTTCTGATTAAAGCCTTTTGAAGTATGTGCTAATATCATTCATTTTTAAATGAGAAAATAGGCATACAGAGGTTAAATAATTTACCTAAGATTACACACTTGTCAGGTGACAGGGGCAGGTGTTGTAAGGTGAATTTAATAGTGAGATACAAAGAAGCCACTTTCTGAGAGGTCAAATCAGGAGTCTTTATTAAAAGGCCGGCAACTACATGGTGGACTCCTGTCTCAAAGACCAGCAAGCCAGCAAATACACTCAACAGTTAGGAAATTGAGCCATGAAGGCCAGAGAGGAAAGGACAAAAACACTATTAACAAACCAATTCAGCTCCAATGGAAAGCTGCAGTGATAGGAGAAGAGCCAGGAAACAGGAGACAGGACACAAACATGGAGACAAGTGGCATGGCTAATGGTGCCTGAGCTGGCCGGGACTAAATAGGGTCAGGTCAGGGGGTAGGGTCACAGGAACCTGGAGTCCCAGGCACTACACTGACAGGTTTAGTAACCTATCAGCAAAGTGCTGGCCCTTGCCTCCAGGGATTCAGGCATGCCTATCACCTGGGAGGTGGGGGCTTCACCTTACTCCACCATGAAGATAAGATGCCAGACCCATGTGACCAAGATGGGGCCAGCCAGACCTGATCTCCTTACTTAACAGGATTCAAATCCAGGCATTCTGCTTCCATGGTTTTGTTCATGTGGACTACTGTGCTGACATTTGCCCCACTTCTAAATACTTCAGTTATTTTTACTTCATTTAGTCTTCACAATCTTTTAGCACTGTTAATATACTTTATGAATGGCAAATCTCAGGCATAGAGAATTCAAGTAACCTATTTCAAGTCACAGTGCTTTGAAGTAGTTGTATCAGGATTTGAATCAAGGCAATCTAGCATTAGTGTATCAAGTATTGCAAAGTACATAAGCTGTTAAACTCTTCTGGGGCTGGAAGATCCTTTCAGCCCAAACTCTCTATTGAACAGATAGGAAAAGATCTCCACTTTACTTGGTACATTTTCTTCCCCCTCTTATTGCCCAGAAACAAACTGGCAGTATAGAATATAGCCTTGTTTTCCTCAAGTTGCTTTCTTCTAGGAGATTTGAGGGTCCTTATCCCTTAATCAGTCCTTCCATGGACATTTGAGCAGTTGCCAGTGGTATGTGTGAAGGAGGGGCTGGGAAGGGACTTGTGGAACCATTGGTGAGTTTTTCTTGATCTTGCTCCACCTCTAGCTGATAAGGAAGTTCTCTTAACATTCAGGTCTTCCTTCCAGAACCTTGATGCCTTGGGACCATCATTTGGGGCCTTGGATTATTGTTCTTTTTGTATTCTACTTTCCTCTTTGTGCCTCTTAGGGACATTTTTTTTAATAATTCCCCAGACATTAGTTCTCTCTCTGAGCCATGTTCTTACTTCCTTATAACTGGCTGCACAAATCTCCATAAATCAGTAAGCATGGATCAGCAAAAGATCCAAATTTTAGCTTACAGACCTTTTGAGCTTTAAGAGACATAGATTAAGCAAGTGTAAGAGAAATTAAGATTAAAATGGAAATAACCCTAGCTAGTAAATCTGTCTTCTAGTCCTACCTCCACTGTTTTTTCTCTGAGTGACTGTGTACAAATCTCTTAATATATCTAATTCTAGAAAGTTTTGTGAAGAATGTCATTAGTATTTCTATAAGGATTTCATTAACTGTGTAGATTCCTTTGGGTAGTAGGGAAATTTTAAGAATATTGATTTTTCCAATCCATAATCATGTGATATTTTACTAATTTTTATGTCTCTTCAATTTCTTTCATCAATGCTTTTTAATTTTTTTTTTTTTTTGGTTGGTCGTGGGGCTTGAACTCTGGACTTGGGCACTGTCCCTGTGCTCTTTAGCTCAAGGTGAGCACTCTAGCGCTTGAGCCACAGCACCACTTCAGTTTTTTGAGTGGTTTATTGGAGATAAGAGTCTCATGGACTTTCCTGCCTGGGCAGGCTTTGAACCTCAATCCTCAGATCTCAGCCTCCTGATTAGCTAGGATTACAGGCGTGAGCCACCGGCGCCTGGCTGCTTTTAAATTTTTGTTGTATTTTTTTTTTTTTTTTACCATTTTGATTAAGTTTCTACTTATTTAAGTTTTTATAACTTATGAATAGGATTGTTTTCTTGTTTTCTATTTAATATAATTTATTATTAAAATGTAACAATATATACTAATATAGACATATACTGATTCTTATATGATGATTACATGTCTGGAAATTTGGCTGAATTTATGTATTACTTCTAGTAGTTGGGTTTTTTTGTCGAGTTTTTGGAGTTTTCTCTAGAAAAGATCATGTCATCTGTAGTGGCAGTTGGACTCTTTACCCCCCCAATTAGTAAATTAGTATGTCTGTTATTACTCTTGCCTAATTTTCTGAACCAGAATTTCTAGAAATATGTAGAATAAAATTGACAAAGTATTCAAAGATATGAAACAGGAATCACCCAACTTTTTCTTTTTTTGCAGTTTGCATACTATTCAGCCTTTATTATATATTATACCTAATTTGTTCACCTTTTTATCTTGAAACTGTACCAAGAGACTTACATATCCATTGAGATGATTATATTGTTTCTGTCCTTTGAAATGTAACTTTCTGTGGTGTATCATATTGTTTATTTGCTTTTGTTAAACTATAATTGCATCTCTGAGATGAATCTAACTCTATTATATTGAATAGTATTTTTGAATGTAGTGTGGGTTTGTTTTGGTAATATTTTGTTGAGAATTTTTGCATTTATGTTCCTCAAGGATATAGGCTGTTATTTTCTTTTTGTTGATGTTGAGTCTTATCCAGTTCTATTACAGAGTAATGATGACCTTTTTGTTGTTGTTGTTGTTGCTCACCAGGCTTGAACTCTGGGCTTGGGTGCTGTCCCTGTGCTCTTCAGTTCAAGGCGAGTACTCTACCTCTTGAGCCACAGAGCCACTTCCGGTTTTATAGTGGTTTATTGGAGATAGAGTTTTACAGCCTTTCCTGCCTGAGCTGGCTTTGAACCGCGATCCTCAGATCTCAGCCTCCTGAGTAGCTAGGATTATAGCTAGCCACTGGCGCCTGGCTCCCATTACCTTCTCCCAAGACCTTCATTCCTCTTTACTGGTTCCTTTCCCTTCTCAAATAGCTCACCTCGTGTATTTTTTTAAAATATAAAATCTGCCTATGAAGCTGCGTGCCAGTGGCTCATGCCTGTAAGCCTACCTACTCTGGAGGCTGAGATCTGAAGATTGGGTTCAAAGCCACCCTGAGCAGGAATGTCTATAAGACTTTTTTAAAATGTTTTTTATTGTAAAAATACTGTACAGAGGGTAATGAGTACATTTCCTACTGAACCTCCTCCTTTGTTTTTCCCCTACCATCCCTTCCTCCCCACCTCCACAACTCCTCCCCCCTCCCAAGTCATAAGGTTCGTTTTCAACATAGTGTCTTGTACATCTCATTGTTATAATGGGTCAACCTGTATCCTTATTTCAGCATTTTGTTATTTCCCTTCCCCTTCCCAAATTAGAAAAATGTAAGATGCAAGGCACCGACATCAAATACAGTGAAAACTCTCATCTCCAATTAACCACCACAAAACTGGAAGTGGTGCTGTGGCTCAAAGTGGTAGAGCACTAGCTTTGAGCAAAAGAGCTCAGGGACAGCATCCAGATCCTAAGTTCAAGCCCCACAACCAACAGACTAAAAAAAGAGTCTGCATATGAGACAGAATGTATAATATTTGTCTTTGTGAGTTTGGTTTATTTTACTTAAAATGATGATTTCTAGTTCTACTTGTTTTAAAAAAAATATGACTTCCTTATTTTTATGGATAATTGTGTCTCCTTTTCCTCCTCTTTTTGTTTTCCAGTACTGTTTGAATTCTGGGGAGCCTGGAGCTTGTTTATCTTCCTTGCTCATAGCTCTACACTTGATTCAATGGCTTCAGCCTGGCTTTTGGCTAGTTAATTAGAGATAGTCTCCCATTTTTCTGCTTCTGCTAGTCTTGAACTGTGATTTTCATGTCTTGGCCCCTTGAGTAGCTAAGATGACAGGCATGAGCCACAAGCACTATTTTATCCATTCAATTGTTGATGGATACTTAGGTTGATTCTATAACTTGGCTATTTGTAAATAATGCTGAGTAAACATGAGATTGCAGTAAACATAAGCTGATTTTGATGCCTTTGGGTATACACCTTGGAGTGGTTCAACTGGATTATATAATAGTTCATTCTATTTTCTCTTTTCCTTTTTTTTCACTTCTTTTTTTTATTTTTATTTTTTGTGAACATACTGTACAGAGGGGTTACAATTTCTCTTTTCCTTTTTTAAAAATCCATTCCACTGGTGTGAGTTGATGTCCCATTGTGGTTTTTATTTGCATTTTCCTGAAATGCACCTTTTTGTATGTTTATTGGCCATTTATTCTTTTTTGGCCATTTATTCTTATGTATTTATTCTTTTAAGAAATGTTTGTTCAGGTCTTTGCAAATCTTAAATTGGTTTGTTGTTATTGTTACTGAATTTTCTGAGTTTCTTATATATTTTGGATATTAACATCCTATCAGATAAATTTGTAGTAGATATTTTTCTTTTCTTTCTTTTTTTGGTCGATAGTGGAGCTTGAACTCTGGGCTTGGGTACTGTCCCTGCGCTCTTCAGCTCAAGGTGAGTGCTCTACCACTTGAGCCACAGAGCCACTTCCAGTTTATTCAACATAAGAGTCTCATGGATTTTCCTGCCCGGGCTGGCTTTGAAACACGATCCTCAGATCTCAGCCTCCTGAGTAGCTAGGATTACAGGTGTGAGGCACCAGCACCCAGCTGCAAATATTTTTTTCTTTTCTTTTTTTTTTTGGAGGAGGGAGTCTGGTCGTGGGGCTTGAACTCTGGGCCTGGGCGCTGCCCCTCAGCTCTTCAGCTCAAGGCTAGCTCTCTACCACTTGAGCCACAGCACCACTTACAGCTTTTTTTCTTTTTGCTTATGTGGTACTGAGGAATCGAACTCAGGGCCTCATGCATGCAAGGCAAGCACTCTACCACTGAGCCACTTTCCCAGCCCATAGGTTCATTCTTTTACATGTGAAATATCCATTTGTCCCAACAGTACTTACTGAAACAATGATACTTTTCCTATTGTACGTTTAGTGCCCTTTTGGAAACGTAGTTAACAATGTAAGTTTGGGTGCATTCTGCCCTCTGTTTCACTTCACTGGTTACATGTGTGTTTTATGCCACTACCATACTGTTTTTACTATATGTCTGCATATACTTTGAAATCAGAAAGTCTGATGTCTCCAACTTTGTTTTTTTATCTTAAGATTACTTTTGCCCCTCAACTATTTTTTCTAGTTTCATACACATTTTATAACTTTTTTTAGTTTTAGTAAAATGGTATTAAAATTTTGATAAGCATTACATTTAATCCAGTGATTCAAAACAATGAATTTTACATTGCTTTGTAATATGGACATTTTTTTTTGGTATCTGTCCTAAGGCTTGAAATCAGGACCTCATTGCTTCTACCACTTTGAGCCATAGCACCACTTCTGGCTTTTTTTGGTGGTTAATTGGAGATAAGCGTCTCATAGACTTTCTTGCCAGAATAGCTTCAAACCCCAATCCTCAGATCTTAGACTCCTGAATAACTAGGATTATAGGCGTGAACCACCAATGCCTGGCTTGGATACTAACAATATTATTTCTTCCAATCCATGAATATAGGACAACTTTCTTTTTTTTATATCTTTAGTTTCTTACATCACTCTTTTATAAATTTTGGTATACAGTAGATCTTTCATTTTGGCCATAAGCGAGCTTTATTTAAAAATAAAAATAAACAGGTACAATTAATTTTATTAACGTTACATCCAATATATGAGTACAACATGTAGCCAATGTAAACATATTAATGAAATAATATATATTCTTTTTGTCTACAATTATTTTACATTTACAGCAAATCTCAATTCATACTAGCGATGTTTCAAATGCTTAATTAGTTACATATGACTAATAGCTACCATACTAAATGGTGCAATTTTAGGATCTGAAACAAAAGCTCCCTTTAAAGGACAGAGCTAAAGGTTTTAGTGAATATATTTTCTAGTTGCATTATCTTTTAGCAAAAATTCCTGAAAGAACAACCTTTTTGCATAGGATGGGACAAGCAGAGAGGAAGCAGTAGAGGAATTACTATGAGATTAAAATCTTTAGGTATGTTACAGTATCATACAATATTACAGCAATAAAATAACACCTATTCTTTGTATATCCAGCTCAAGCACTAGTTGAAAATATTTTCCAAGAATGTTAAGTCCCTGGGGGAGTTTCAAGGTGATCCAAGAGATATCTCCTGAATTGCCCAGGTCTTCTGATGGATAATTTCTAAAGTGCAGCCAAGCTGCACCTAGAGCAAGCTGTAAAAAAAAAAATTTAGGTAATGAGGGATCAATGACATCATCCCTGAGTTTAGACTGCATTTTTTCCCCCTTAGCTTTGGTATATAGTTCTCCCTAGCTTTTTCCTGTGTTCTCCTTCCTAGTACAAGACAACCTAGATAACCAAAATCTAGGTTCATATCACAAAGATAAAAATAGATTTCACCCCAAACAGCCCCCCCCTCTACTTTGAATGTCTTTTAACTCTGCTTTCTGATAAAGATCTTGGAAATAGGACACACGTTGTATACTTACCTCCACACCTTTTCCTTTGTAGGCTTGACCTCTGTCCCAAGGCCTCAAGTCATTATAAACCTCTGTCTCACACTTTCCTGTCCATCAAGAACTTGGCAAGAGCAAAATAGCCTTGCAATAGGACAAGCCTCTGTTTACCCAGAATAGGAATGCACTCCTTCAATAGCCCTGCACTAGCCCTAGCCCCCAGATTAGAGAAGAATGGAGACTCACAGAAGCTAAGCACATCACTTGCTGGTATCTTCTCAGTGTTTGAGCAAATCAAGGGTAGGTTTTTGCATGTGAGCATGAATTGTCCTGGCTGAAGATGAACTGGCTTAGTGTCATATGAAGAGCTTATGACTCCAAGAATCATCAGGTATCAGGACTAGCAGAATCAGAATATTTCAAAGCACAAGTAGAAGAACATGAAGCTCAGGGAGGAAAAAGACTTGTCCAAGGTCACAAGCAGTCAATATTACATCAGGAACAAGTGAAACCCCAAACTCCAGATCCTGGGACTTAAAAAATGGCTGGTCCAGCCAGGTACTGGTGGCTCACACTTATAAATCCTAGCTACTCAGGAGGCTGAGAATTGAGGATCACGGTTCAAAGATAGCCCTGGCAGGAAAGTCCATGAGACTCTTTTCTACAATTAATCATCAGAAAATTGGAAGTGAAGCTGTTGCTCAAAGTATAAAGTGCTAACCTTGAGGGAAAAGAGCTCAGGGACAGCACTCAGGCCCAAGGACTCAACCAAAAAAAATGACTGTTCATGTACAATGCTGAATGGACACATTATGGGTCAATTTTTGCCTGGTTTTGTAGAGCATTAGATACTATCCCCTTGTGGTTGTTAAAGTTTCTATACTTGATCTGATCAGATAGAGGACTAAGATTCACTTGAATCATTTGCTTCTTTAGCTTTTTAAAAGATCTTTTAAAATTCTTGAATATGGACTTGCTAGGCTGAAATGAGAAATTCCATGAAAATCCCGAAATGAGTGGAACTCATTATCAGAAACTCCACAAGTCACTGGGCACTAGTGGCTCAGGCCTGTAATCCTAGCTACTCAGGAGGCTGAGTTCTGAGGATCACGATTCAAAGCCAGTCCAGGCAGGAAAGTCCGTGAGACTCTTATTTCCAATAAAACCACTAGAAAACCAGAAGTGGTGCTGTGGCTTAAGCGGTAGAGTGCTCACCTTGAGCTGCAGAGCTGAGGGACAGCGCCCAGGCCCAGAGTTCAAGCCTCAGGACCAACAACAACAACAAAAAAAACTCCACAAGTCTGTTTTTCTAACTGATTCGTATACCTAAGTAAAATCTCTAAGACTCAATTTCTTCAGCTATAAATTGTTAGTCAAATGGTACAAAGTTTAACTTGTATGTCACACAAATTCTGGGGATATAATGTACAGCATATCGTATATGACTTGTTAATTCATTTTACTATACACAGTGCATATGTACATGAATACATGTATATATATATATGTATATATATATTCATGTCTTGTGCCCTGAGCATGTAAATCTAGTTAACAATTACATATTTAAACATTTTAAATTTATTATAGTAGTATCTTTAATAATTTATTATAATAGTCTGTATTATAATTTTATTTCATTTTATTTAATTAATTATAATATAATTTATTATTTATTATAATAGTGTCTGTAATCCTGAATTTTATAAGTGATAATGAAGATGATAAATGTTTTTTGCCTAATGTATCTTGTCACATGATAGGAGTTTTGCAGTTTGTCAAATCCATATTTATTCAGTTTCTATTATTATGAATCTTTTGAACCCAGTTCTCCTGAAACACAACTTAGTGGTTTTATTACTCTATCTCACTAGTTATCATATACTACTTTCTGCACTATTTTGTCTCTTATTCACTGTTCTAGCTCTTTTCTGTACCTCTTGAAGGAGGAGGAACTTTTTTGTAGCTTTCCCATATGCATTCTTATTTTTCAATACTGAAAATCTCTTTCAGATCTGTAATTTGTTTTATGGGTAAAACCATTTTCTAGACCAAACTGGGAAAAAGACCAGAAGCAGTATTACTGTTAGCTGTTCTTTGCCATCTTATGAGGGAAGCAAAGTTAGTCTCAGATGTGAGAGTTTTGGAGGAGGCTTAAGGAGGGAATATACTATGTTTAAATTAGACTATTGAAGGTCAAATGGTTGTAGTCCATTCCAAGAGATAGCTCCTGACCACAGATAGAAAAATGGATGGAGTTTGAGAGAAATGAGGAGGTAGAAATAGAGCCATAAATATGTTCTCCAGTTGAAGCTATAGGAAGGAGCTAGATATTGCTGAGGGAGAAAGCTTATGTAAAGAAAAGTGGAGAATTGAAGTATGAACATATATTAGAGTAGAAAATAAATTATAGATGACATAAAGGAATTTTTAAGTTGTCTTAGGCAACCCTGAGAAATGATAAAGCTCAAACTAATTCTGGATCCAGTCTAAGAAGGAAAAGTGAGATTATAGGAAAATAGCGTGTTCTGGGTCTTTTTTCGAAAAGTGAACCTTTTTCTCAGATTGATATTCTCCTTATTGACTGTATGAGAAGTGGTAATAGTACATGTACCCATATACATTTATTGTGGGAAGGTAAAGTGTTCAATTTGTATATATTCATGTTTATTCAAATACATTTTTATTTATTAAATGGCAGTAAAAATATGATTTGGGCATGTATGGGAGATACAATAATAATTAAGTAATTATCCTTGCCATACAAAGATCATATATCTAGTCTGTTAATCACAGCATTATCATAAGTGATTGTGATACAATCATTAACCTTAGAGAACCTGTATGATTTTAAAACACATTACATGGGGGCCTGGGAAGGTGGCTCAGTGGTAGAGCGCTTGCCTTGCATGCTTAAGGCCCTGGGTTCGATTCCTCAGCACCACACAAGCAGAAAAAGCTGGAAGTGAGGCTGTGGCTCAAGTAGTATAGTGGTAGCCTTGAGCTGAAGAGCTGAGGGACAGCGCCCAGACCCAGAGTTCAGGCCCCATGACCGGACCCCCCCAAAAAGAACACATTACATAGAAAGAAAGACATTTTAGATACTAGATTGGACACATTCCCAAAGTACCATGATATGAAAGAGAGATTTAACTTGTTACATGTGGTGGCTCAATGGATTAAAACTAATATCAATCAAATGACCTTCATTGTTTGTACAGATTTTTATGCAAAGATGTCTTTTCTGGTTCTTCTGGGAATAGCCTTCCCTAGGAGTTATGAAACATGGGTTTAGATTTTGGCCATCTCCCATGCTGTATCCTTTTTCTTCTCTGAGTATTCATTTTATCTTAAAGAAAATGAAAAATTGATAGAATGATTTTAAAGGTGCTGGTATGCATAAAATGATGAATTTTTATCCTGGTAATAACTGTAAACCTAGCTTCCTTTCTTACTCCCATAGATGACAGCCAGACCTTTGTAGAGACCTATGATGACATACCAAAGGTGATCACTGTGCTTACTGAAACCCAAGAGGTGCTTGTACCATGTCGTGTCACTTCTCCTGACATTGATGTTAAGCTTCATCTGGTAAGTTTCAATGTTAAAGTCTTAGAAAGAGGACTGTCACTATCTAGTATATAAAATATAAAGATAGCAGGAAAGAATGTTTCAGTGCCATGTCTGGTAATAGTTTCAGGTATATGTATACTCCTTTGAAAGTGTTTTTATAAAAGGGTTGCATCAAGTAGAAGAAAAGGAAATAGATGACTTAGTGGTCATCTTTTTGACCTTACTCTATATTATGGGTCATTCTAGAGTCTCCCACAAGCCAGCACCATTTTCTAGAAAAACTCCCCTGAATTCAGCTGACTCCACATCTTTTGTAAAGTCTTATATGGATTTTATGTAAAGGTTTGTCAATGTCCAGAGCTCTTGAACCAGAGTACTTGTTTTTCTTCAACAAATATTTTCCTTAAACAAGAAAATGGTGAATCCAGGGGCCAGTGATTTATACTTATAATCCTAGCTACTCATCAGGCATAGATTTTAGGATCAAGGTTTGAAGACAGCCCAGATTGATAAACCCAAGATTCTTATCTCTAACCTGCCAGCAAGCCCAGTACTGGTACAAAAAATATTATAAAGTTTCGGGAGGTATCCAATAGAAGTACAAGAGAAAAAGAAGTAATCTATACATCTAACTTGATTAGTCAAATAAATCTTGGCTGTTAATGGAGAAAAACATACTTGAAAGATTTCCTTCATCTCTGGAAGCCCTTAGCATCTACAGTTACAGTGGTTCAAAGCCAGCCTGGGCAGGAGAATCTTTGAGACTCTTCTCCAATTAACTACCAAAAAGCCTGAGGCAGAGCTGTGGTTCAAGTGGTAGAGCACTAGCCTTGGGCAGAAAAAGCTCAAAGAAAGCATCCAGGCCCTGAGTTCAAACCCCAGGACCAGCATACACCCCAAAAAAGATGAGTAGAGCTGAACTATATAACCAGACATAGTTTTCAGTAATTATTTTTGGAATAGAGTATTACTTTCCACCATGATATGCCCCTGAGATATGATCCACCTATTTGTAGACTTCCTATTATTGCTAGTATTACAGGTGTGTACTACTGTATACAGCTCCTCTTCCTTGGATACAGAATCACCTGGACTTTTTTCTGGTCTGATCTGTCTGTAATCAGAATCATCTCAATCTCAGCCTCCAATGTACCTTGGGATAAGCAGAACTATCATTTTTTGTTACTACATTCATCTGTGGGTTGAGAAGTTTATTCATATTTTCTGCCTGAACTAGTGGTCTGGAATCACTCTCCTCCTGTTCTCAGCCTCCCATATCAGCCAATTCTTAAAAGAAAATGACGGTGCCTCATGTCTTTGGAACTTGATTCTTGAGAACCAAGGCAGTGGTATGCCAGGAAAGGTGGAGTGGGAAGGATGCAGTTTCTTCTAGTAGTTATGTGTTTGTCTGGCTACCTCATCCTTCCTCCACCTAATATACAGGGAGAATGACCTGGCCCACCCATTGAGCCTCCTTTTTCCCTCCACAAGCTAATATTTAGCAAGACTTGGAGCCACTATGTCTCTGTCCTTTGCCAAAAGGAAACATGAGATTAGGAAAGGACTGACCTGGCCAATTTCAAACATCCTTTTCTAAAATTAGATCTTACTAGGCAGCCAATTTAGTTCCAAAGAATGAACCTAGTTATGAGAGTAGAGGTATAGCCAGGACTTGTTTTTCTAAAGCATTAGGTACCATCTCACCTAAGATTTATTCAAAGTAAGCAACCTCCAAGTATCTAGAAATATCTAAAGGGGTTTCAAGAGAGCACCTATCATTTTCCACTAAAAAAATTAACTGGCCAACATTTCCTACAATTCAAGATAACTTCTTATGATACCATAGAATTTTGATTCTTTTGTTCTTTTTTTTTGGGGGGGGTGGTCAGTCGTCGGGCCTGAACTCTGGACCTGGGCACTGTCCCTCAGCTCTTCAGCTGAAGGCTAGTGCTCTACCACTTCAGCCACAGTGCCACTTCCGGCTTTTTTCTTTTTGCTTATGTGGTGCTGAGGAATCGAACCCAGGGCCTCTGGCATGCAAGGCAAGCGCTCTACCACTGAGCCACTTTCCCATCCCTACCATAGAATTTTGAGAGGAAAAAAAGCCCACTTAACATGATACTGCCCCTTAGGAAGCTGTTGGTTAAAGACCATACTCTAAACACTTGGACAATACTTCCAGCCTGAAACTTGACTACTATTAAATTGGTCCATCATTTATTCATTAATGTAATCCCACTGAGAGGGATTCTGAAGTGAGAATGTGGAATCCTGGAGTACAAAGTAGTTAATAATTAGTGATCAGTTAATTAGCTAAAAAGACTGAGTTTGAATTATGCTTTGAAAAATGCAATAGGTGGTAGTCATAAAGGTGCTACTGTAATTACAATTGTTAGAGCTGGAGTCTGATGTATTGGCTCTGTTTTTCATACTTTCTGTTCAACCATATACAACTCATGTAAGGATTTCCTTGCTTTTACAATGGCATTGCTGGGTCTCAGTGATATTCAGCAGGTGGAATACTTTCCCCTGAAGTACAGCTACAGCAGAAATGAGTTTTGATTAAAAGTAAATCAAGAACATGGTGCTGGTTCCTCAGGCCTGCAATCTTAGCTATTCAAGAGGCCAAAATCTGAGGATTATGATTTTTCATCAGCCCGGGCAGGAAAGTTTATGAGACTCTTTATTTCCAATTAACCACCAAAAAGCAGAAAGTAGAGCTGCGACTTGAATAGTAAAGTGCTATCCTTCAAGCAAAAAGTCTCAGGGACAGCACCCAGACCCTGAGTTCAAGCCCCAGGACCAGCTCTCTCTCTCCTCTCCTCTCCTCTCCTCTCTCTCTCTCTCTCTCTCTCTCTCTCTCTCTCTCACACACACACACACACACACACACACACACACACACACACACACACGCACACACATGCACACACATAAACCAAGAGATTATCCAAAGGTGGTTTTACCCAATAGTAACTGAGTAAAGATAATTTCAAGTGAACTGAGAAAAAAATTCAGTGCAATTTGATTCAATCCAATATATTTAACAAATCTAATCTATACCAAGAATTACTCAGCCATTTATAAGATGTAGTATAAATTTGCTAGTTTGGCAGTCACAAATTAGATGGCTTAAGGCTACAGAAATTTTTCTCACAATCTGTACTGAGGAAGTCTAAAATCAAAGTATCAGCAAGTCCGTGTTCCTTGAAGGCTCTAGACAAAAGATAAGAACTCTTTATCTTTTGTAGGTTCTGGTGGTTACTGGATTTTCTTATCTTGTGGTTGTATAACTTTAATATCTCTTTATATTTATATAATCTTCTATATCTATGTCTGACTTCTCTTCTGCCTATTATAAGAACATGTGTTATTGTATTTAGAATCCATCCTATTCCAAGATTTCATCCCAGGATGCTTAAATTAATTATATTTACAGAGACATTTTCTCCAAACATCAAACCCACAATTTATAGCTAAACACTTTTTTTGTTTTTGTGTCAGTACTGGGACTTGAACTCAGGGCCTGGGTGCTGTCTCTTAGCTTTATGGCTCATGGGTAGCATTCTACCACTTGAACCACAGCCCCAATTCTGGCTTTTTGCTAGTTAATTAAGGATAAGATTTTCATGGATTTTCTTGCCTGCACTGGCTTTGAACTGTGATCCTCAGATCTTAGCAGCCTGAGTAGCTAGAATAACAGGTATGAGCCACCAGCACTTGTCTCTAATGTTCATTTTTACACTAATCCCTATGAAATTCATGTTTATGGAGTGGGGAAACTATTAGCAACATAGGTTTAGTAGAAAGAAGTAAACACTAATAAGAAATAGAGACACTATTCTGGGCAATAAAACTAAATGGTTAGAGAAACATGAAATCTCAGAGCTGGAGTAGACTTTAATTTCTTATGTGACACAAAAATTCCTATTTACTATCTTGGACAAATAATCATCCAAATACCTGCATAAGAGATTTTTTTGGTAAGAAGTCACCAACTTTTGATTAAATTCAGTAGACTAACAAAATCACATACCACATTCTGCCCAAAGGATTCTTTTTTCTTAGGCTAAATGATTTCCTTTCTGTTTAAGAAAAATGTACTGGTTCTGGGCTTGGGCACTGGCCCTGAACTTTTTTTGCTCAAGGCTAGTGCTCTACCACTTGAGCCACACCTCCACTTCTGGCTTTTTTGTGGTTAATTGGAGATGAGAGTCTCATGAACTTTCCTGCCAGGGCTAGCTTTGAATTGCAGTCCTCAGATCTCAGCCTCCTGAATAGCTAGGATTGATTATAGGCATGAGCCACTAGTGCCTGGCTGATTTCCTTTTTCTTAAACAATCTTTTATATCAAAAAGCTTCTAGAAACCTCAGTTATGACCCATCCTCCTTTGTTTTTTGTGTTCTCATAAAATTTATATTTATGAAAATTTTAGTGATATAAAAACATTCTAGCCGGGCTCTGGTGGCTCATGCCTGTAGTCCTAGCTACTCTGGAGGCTGAAATCTGAGGATCATAGTTCAAAGCCAGCCTGGGAAGGAAAATCCCTGAGACTTTATCTCCAATAAACCCCTCAGAAAACATGAAGTGACACTGTGGCTCAAGTGGTAGAGTGCTCCCTGTGAGCTGAAGAGCTAAGGAATGGCGCTAGGCCCAGAGTTCAAGCCCCACAACCAACAAAAAACAAAACAAAACATGCTAATAATATAATTAATGGAAACTACAGGCCACTTCATACATACAAAGCAAAAAAGATTAGACATAAATATGCTTCATTTTTGTTCCAAGTAGTTATTTCTAAGATGTATAGGTCATCATTATTTTCTTGTTTTGTTTCTTGTTTTTGTGCCAGTCCTAGGGCTTGAATTCAGGGCATGGCACTGTTTCCGAGTTTTTGTGCTCAAGACTAGCACTCTACCATTTGAGCCAGAGCTCTGCTTCCAGCTTTTTGGTGGTTAACTAGAAATGAGTGTTAGGGGCTTTCCTGTCCATGCAGTGATCCTCAGATCTCAGACTCTTGAATAGATAAGATTAAGGTGTAAACCCTCTCCCCAGCTTATTTTCTTCTTTACTTTCCAATGTTATTGAAAAAAGTTGTGTTTATTATTTATAAGGGATATAATTTGGTATTCTGTTTGTTAAAAAATATACTAGCTGTTGGTTGCTGTTGGCTAATGCTGTAATCCTAGCTACTCAAAGGCTGAGATCTAAGGATCTGGTTCGAAGCTAGCCCATGTAGCCAAGTCCATGAGACTCTTTTTTTTTGGGGGGGGGGGCCTCCGGTCGTGAGGCCTGAACTCTGGGCCTGGGCACTGTCCCTCAGCTCTTCAGCTCAAGGCTAGCACTCTACCTCTTGAGCCACAGCGTCACTTCCGGCTTTTTTCTTTTTGCTTATGTGGTGCTGAGGAATCGAACCCAGGGCCTCAGGCATGCAAGGCAAGTGCTCTAACACTGAGCCACCCATGAGACTCTTATCTCCAATTAATCACCAAATAAATCAGAAGTAGAAATATGGCTCAGCAGTGGTAGCCATGAATGAAAAGTTAAGGGACAGCTAAGGGACAGCACCCAACCCTGAATTCAAGCTCCCGTATCTCTCTCTCTCTCTCACATACACACACACACACACACACACACACACACAGTACATTAAATGAAAGAAGGCACCCAATCTGTGCTGTTTGAAGCTGGCTCCTTAATGCTCTGCATATTGTTTAGTTCAGAGCAGACGTTTGGTTAAATATTATTCATATACTTAACTGAATGAATTAAAGTATCAGTTAGGCATGTACTTCATGCAAGCTGGTTAGTTTCTTTTTTTAAATAAGTTTTTTATTGCGTAAATACTGTACAGAGTGGTTACAATTACATGAGCAAGGTATTGAGTATATTTCTTTCTTTTTTTTTTTTTTTCGGTCGTGGCACTTGAACTCTGGGCCTGGGCGCTATCCCTCAGCCCTTCAGCTCAAGGCAAGTGCACTACCGTTTGAGCCACAGTGCCACTTCTGGTTTTCTGAGTGGTTTATTGGAAATAAGAATCTCGTGGACTTTCCTGCCTAAGCTGGCTTTGAACCATGATCCTCAGATCTCAGCCTCCTGAGTAGCTAGGATTACAGGCGTGAGCCACTGATGCTGGCCTATTAGTCTGGTTCTTGTTTGTTGACTATCTGTTTTGCACATAACTCTGTTCATTTTGTAAGTGGAAAACAAAAGCTCCATTAACCAGCAGAGGCTCAGTCTTCAGGAAACCTGGGCAGGAAAATAGAAGGCTAGATCATTCCTTTTGTAGCTTCTGTAGTTTCAGGGAAAATGGCATATGCATCACATTGAGGACTGATGAACCTTTTATATTTATGGATTTCTGTTTCTTCCTTTCCTTGTTCCACAGTTTCACCCAGCCACCTTCACCTATGCAGGCCAGAACTGGGATCCTAGGAAAGGCTTCACTGTAACTCGACCATCTTATCACTTCTATAGTAGCATAATTCAGTGTATTGCAGAAGTCAATGGGAAGATTCACAAATCGCTCTATCTTCCACAGCGTTTGGGTATGTAATTCATGCTTTTAGATTACAAAATAGGATCTCACTGCTTTGTGGAATCCCTTTTCTTTGGAATAAGTCTTACTGTAGCTACATCCCCTTTCACAGTGCTTAATAATTAGTGATTCAGAACTCTTATTATAATATGAAAAGAATAGAATAAAGCTTGCTGTCTCAATGCATTCTTTATATGATTGCTTTTTTGTTTTTATTAGTATATCTGAATTATAGAGAGGGATTTGTATATTTCTGTACATGTATATAATGTACTTTGATCAAATTCACCCCTCTATTACTCTTATCCCTATTCTCTCCTGCTAAAACCATTTAAAACAAGTTTTATTATTCTATTATCATACATGTATCTAAAGAACTTTGATCATATTCAACTCTGATTACCTTTTCTTTTCACCTTCCCCATTCTTGTTGTTGCTTCTTCCCACTCCCCAAAAGTTCCCATATTTTACACTCATGGAATTCCTTTTGTGTGTGTGTGTATATGGTGCATAGGAGAGAGAATATTGCAATACTTGCCTTTCACAGTCTGACTTGTTTCACTTAATATGATGATTTTCATTTCCATCTATTTTCCCTTCAAACAACATAATTTCATTCTTTATGCCTGATTAATACTCCATGCCGTGTGCGTGTACATATGTCACATTTTCTTTAATCATTCATTAGTTGATGGGGACCCAGACTGGATCCATAGTTTGGCTATTTTAAACAGTGTTGCTATGAATATAATCATGAATGTGTACATATGTCTATTATATTCTAACTTAAGTTTTTCAGATGTATGGTTAAGAATGGTATTAGATGATCTTATCTTTGTTTAGTTCTTATCTATCTTATCTATGTTTAGTTCTTTGAAGAGCATCTATACTGATTTCCATAGTGGGTACACTAACTTATATTCCCACCAAAAGTGTATAATGATCTCTTTTCCCAAATTCTTGCCAACATTTGCTGTTTTTGTTGTTGATGATTACTGCCATTCTAATTGGGGTTAAATACAGTCTCAGTGGAATTTTAACTTCATTTCCTTTATGGGTAAGATGCTAAACATTTTTCACGCATTTATTATGAACTGTTATTTTCCTGAAAGTGTTTTTTTTGACAGGTTAATTTGACTTCATTTCCTATCTTTATCCCTTTTATTTCTTTGTCTTGTATTCTTTCCCTAGTTAGGAATTTATGCATGATAAAGAGTAAGAGTAGATCTCTGCCCAGGCCCTCTGCCTGGTCTTTACTGTGAATGGGGAGACTTGGGGGGGAAATACAAAACAAGAGTTAAGAGTGGAAAGTGGACACCATTGTCTCATTCATGATTTTATAGGAAATTGATTCAGTATTTTCCTCATTTATGATAATGTTGGTTGTAGGTCGTTTGTGTGGTCTTTATTATGTTGAGGCATATTACTTCTATTCCATGTTTCTTTAGGGTTTTCATTTTCATCATGTTGTTGAATGTCGTCAAAGTCTTTTTGTTAAGTCTTTTCTGCATCTATTGAGATGTTCGTAAGATTTTTGTCCACATGTGCTATGTTATGTTAATTGATTAGCTTATGCTGAACCACATTTGTAAGTTTGGAATAAAACCAGCTTGACCACTGGGTGACCGTGGCTGATACCTGTAATTCCTAGTTACATAGGAGGCTGAGATCTGAGAATTGCAGATCAAAGCCAGCCCAGGCAGGAAAGTCCATGAGACTCTTATTTCCAATTAACCACCAGAAAACCACAAGTGGTGTACTGGCTCAAAGTAGTAGAGTCCTAGCCTGGAGCAAAAATTGCTCAAGGACGCAAGTCCCACGACTGACCAAAACAGCAGCAACAACAAGAACAATAACAACAAAAGTCAGCTTGACCAGTATGTATGATTTTTTTTTGGTTCATTGTGGGGCTTGAACTCAGGGCCTGGGTGCTGTCCCTGAGGCCTCTTTGTACTCAAGGAGCATTACCACTGAAGCCATAGTGCCACTTCTGGTTTTTTGAGTTAAGGTTAGTTGGAGATAAGAGTCTCACATGGAGTTTTCTGCCTGGGCTGGCAGATCTTCAGATCTCAGCCTCCTGAGTAGCTAGGATTACAGGTCGAGCCACCAGCATCCGGCTGTATAATTTTTTTTTAAACCAGAACATTTATTGTATGGCTAATCTTTTAAATTCTCAAGATGAACTGGATGCTCCAACAGGTACTCTCTTGGGTTTAGGTGTTGTTCCTTCATGGAATCCATGCCTGAATCTGTGATAGACAATTCTTAGGTGCCTCATCCTACTTGCTCCAGTAGTATTTCATCTCTTGGTCTTGACACTCCAGTTATACTTTCTCTTGCATTTGCCACACATCAACTTCTGAAGATGGTAGGCCTTAGAACCACAGAGGCAGCACAACGTGTACGTCTTATTGTGACGCTTTCTAGAGGATGATGTTCCCTTCATCATCTCACCTCTGCCACCAAGACCAAAGACACGGAAAAGGGGAACTGTATAATTTTTTTCTAGTCCTGAGGCTTGAACTCAGGGCCTGGGCTCCGTCCCTGCGCTTCTTTCGCTCAAGGCTAGCACTCCAACACTTGAGGCACAGGGCCACTTCTGGCTTTTTCTGAGGAATTGAACCCATGGCTTCATTCATACTATGCAAACACTCTACCACTGAGCCACAATCCCAGCCCTGAATGATCTTTTTTTTTTTTTAATGTATTGTTCAATTGTTTTGCAAGTATTTCACTGATAATTTTTTGTCTATTTCATCAAAGAAATTGGTCTGAAGGGTATTTTTGTCTTAGAATCCAGTTTTGTTATCAGAGTACCACTGGCTTCTTAGAATCAATTTTATAGTATTGTTTCCCTTTCTGTCTTATGAAATATTTGGGGGACCATTAGTCTTTGTTCTCTAAAAGTATGGAAAAATTCAGCAGTTAACCCACCTAGTCCTGTTTTTTTTTAAGAGGAGAAGGAGGATACATACCTTATTACTGATGTAATTTTTGTCATTTATTATAGATCTGGGTTCAAATTGGTTGGTCAATGTATCAAAAATGTGTCCATTCTTCTAGATTTTCCTGTTTATTAAAGTTTATGAAGTTTTCTCTAATTATCTTCTGAATTTTACTGGTATCTCCTTTTTCATCACTATATATTTTTTTTAAGTTGAAGGCTTCTTGAATTTTTATTTTGTGTACAAATATGATCTTTCATTGGGCTTGACGTCTTGGATAGTCCATTCACTTAGTCCAACTTAATGAAGCCGATGTCCTTCGCATACTGGCGGAAACACTGCCGGCACATGTTGAGCCCGTACTTCCGGATCAGACCGTGGCGATTAGAGCACACGCGGCAAGAGCGAGATCCCTGGCCGAATTTTCGGGAGTGACTCCAGTAGAGCTGCTGGTGACCCATCTTGCTTCCACAGGTCCAACGAGGAAAAAGGCTCATCACTATATTTTTGAATTTGCATCTTTTCTTTTTTGTTAGTTTGGCTAAGGGCTTCTAACCTTGTTTCCTATTTCAAAGAACCAACTTTTTGCTTCATTGATTCTTTGTGTTGTTCTTTTAGTCTCTATTTCATTAAATTATGTACAGAGCTTTATTATTTTCCCCATTTACTCTTTCAGAATTTGGCTTGTTCTTGCTTTTTAAAACCTTGAAACATGTCATTCAGGCATTCATTTGATATCTCTGCTTTTTAACATAAGCCCTTAAAAATTTTCCTCTTAGCACTGGTATTGTTATATCCCAAAGATTTTACTAAGTTGTATTTTCATTTTCCTTTTATTATAGGAAAATATTCTTTGGTGGGGGTTAAATTCAGGGCCTGAGCACTGTCCTTTAACTTAAGGCTGGTGTGCTACCACTTGAGCCATACTCAAACATGGCTCTCCACTTCAATCCTTATGGTGGTTAATTGGAGATAAGAGTCTTACAGATTTTCTTGCCCAAGCTGGCTTTGAACTGTTATCCTCAGATTTTAGCATCCTGAGTGGCTAATACAACAGGTATGAGCTACCAGTGCCCAGCTAATTATAAGAATTTAAAAAATCTTCCCTTTTCGTCAATGGTCAAATAATCATCCAAAAGTGAGTTGTTTTGTCTCCATATGTTAGAATATATATGTATATATATTGTTGTTATTGGTGGTGATGGTGGTGTGGTTGTGGTTCTTGAACTCTGGACCTGGGTGCTGTCCCTCAGCTCTTCAGCTCTACCACTTGAGCCACAGTGCCACTTCCAGTTTTTTCTGCTTATGTGGTGCTGAGGAATTGAATCCAGGGCCTCATGCATGCAAGGCAAACACTCTACCACTGAGCCACCTTCCCAGCCCCTGTTTGAATATTTTTTTGTAATTTCTTTTTCTGTTGATTTCCAGTTTTGTTTCATTGTTATGTGACAAACTATAAGACTTCCATTTAATAAGATTTTATGTCTACAGTGTGATCGTTTTTCAAGAAACATAGGTTTCTGGGTATAATATTATTTGGCAGTTGTATTCCATAGATGTCTGTTACATGCATTTGACATATAGTGTTATTTAATTTTGAATTTTCCTTCTGGACTTTTGGTCTGGGTAACCTATTAGTGAGAGTCGGATATTAATGTTACCCACTATTATTGTGTTGGAGTCTCAGGTTTTATTTTCATTAGTGTTTGTTTTATAAAATTGAGTATACTGATGTTTGGTGCATGTGTGTTTACAATCATAATGTCTTCCTGATGTACTGTTCCCTTTGTCAATGTATAGTTACCTCCTTTGTCTCTTTTGACTAGTTTTGGCTTGAAGTCTTCTTTGTCTTACACATGTATAGCTATTCCAATTTGCTTTCAGGATACATTTGCTTGGAAAATCTGTCCCCATCCTTTCAACTTAAATTTGTGTTTGTCTTTACCAGTGAGAGGTTTAGCAATAAATATTCCTACTTTATGGGGTTATCCCTGCGGGACTATGATATAATGCTGTACATTTAGGCTAAGTAATATATTTCTTGAAGTTTTATGTTACTGTTGCCCTTGTAATAATGTCATTCACTTAGGGAAGATTCCTTGCTCTCAGAGAATAGAGAAATGTGGTAGAGTCACAGAAAAGCATGATGCTTTTTTAGATCAGTAGGAGAAAAATCTTCCAATGGAGTGGATCTTAAACTGGAGACCAGATTTCCTAGTGATTATAGGATCTTTCTTACTAAAAACCCTCAAGATCTGGAGAGATGACCTTTTCTACTTACTGCTGTGACTCTTGGTATCCTTTAAGATCTTATTAGTGTTTTACAAACCATAGGATCTCCTGGTTTGCACCTATATTTTCTGTAACAAAAAGGGGAAAGGAATTGAGAATTCTCAAGAAGTACTCCAGGCTTTTCTGCTTCTGTGGGGCCTCTTGAGGTAGAATAAGTTGTGGCCCAGTTGTGAGCTGAGGCAGCTTGGGGTGGGACTATTCATTTGGGACTCTTCTCATTCTCCTTCTGATGTCAAGAAGACTGAGAAAGATGATGAAATGAACGAAAATAAAAGCCAGAGCAAGCAACCCAAGAGACCACTTCTTTCCCTAGGTCCTGTGGCAGCCAATTCTGAAGGTTGTATTATGACAGCCATCCATGTCAAACCTTGTCCAAACAAAATACTCTTTTGAAAACAGATCTGACAACTGAATCCAAAAGTGTGACCACTTACAACATCTGCATCAAAGTATCAAGCTGAGGTCTTTCTATATTTTTTCCAGAGTCTTAAAATCTCAGCAAGAGTGAAGAAGTGGTTTTGGAAAAGGGTAATAAATCTTACGAAAAGGTTGTCAAACTTTTGGTCTCCAGAAGAGATCATAGAGAAACTTAAAAAGGAAAGTCAGAAAATTTTTTAAGAAGAAAATATACAGGGGCTGGGAATGTGGCTTAGTGGTAGAATGCTTGTCTAACATGCATGAAGCATTGGGTTCAATTCCTCAGTACCACATACACAGAAAAAAAGGTGAATAAATGAAAGAAAAATTAAAAGAGAAAAAACAAGATTTAGAGGAATAAGATACGTACACACAAAAACACAGACATATATGAACCCGAGTCATAAAGAGAAATTTAGGAAGCATTACACATTGACTACTAGTAGGAAAATCCTTCACTCTAAATAGCCTGAAACTAGTTACTCTGCTTTTATGGCATTAAAACAACAGAGCTCAAATGGATAGTCAGGATGACCTGATTTAATCTCTTGCATTCTGTGATGTTTTCTGATATTTAGAAATGGGGAGACTTATTTGAGATCACTCCATGAAAGATGGCAATGGAACCCAGATCTTTTTTCATTATTTGAATAATACTTTATTTTATGTAATCAAACCCATGTAGATAATACCTTATATATTTAATGCAGTGTGTTTGTTCTTGTACAAATGGAAAAAATTAACATTTCTAGACCAATATGGCTGTATTTTTTTTTTTTTGTCAGTCCTGTGGCTTGAACTCTGGGCCTGGGTACTGTCTGTGAGCTCTTTCAGCTCAAGGCTAGCACTCTACCACTTGAGCCACAGCACCACTTCCAGTTTTCTGAATAGTTTGTTGGAGATAAGAGTCTCATGGACTTTCCTGCCCAGGCTGGCTTTCACCTGTGATCCTCAGATCTCAGCCTCCTGAGTAACTGGGATTACAGGCGTGAGCCACCGGCGCCAGGCTGGTTGTTAATTTCTGTACAATGCCAACTCAATATGGTAATTGGGATACTTTTTCCAAGTTGATGGCACATCTAATGTTTCCAAAAGTTCAAATTACAGACATACATCCATGCATACACCCCCCCCCCCAATAATAGCAGTATGCTATGCAGCAATAGCAGTAACAGTTTTTCTAACTTCTGTCCTCATCTGAACAAAATTAGAGACATCTAGAACATTTCATTAATAAAAAGATAAAAAAAGATAAACAAGACCCCAGATAAATGTGAAGTTCTTTTACTGTTGTGGTACCCAGTACTATTTTAAAATTAACTTCTCAATCATTATCTGGAAAGAAAGCATTCTGGAGTAATAACAGGTCTGATAAATCACAGGTATCACTCTTGTTTCTGAATTTCTGGGAGTTGCCTCCTAATCCACTTTAAAACTGACAAAAGAAAATCTGTCACACTGTGTTGCAGTCTTATTTTATGTTTTAAGCTCTTTCTCTAAATCCAGGTATATTTTTACATCTAGAAATGCTTTCTGATAGGCTTGTGAAAAAGTAGATGGAACATCTTGTGAAAAAGTAAATAATACTTATAATTTAATGCTTATTTTTGAGAACTTACTTGAGTTGTCTTCCTCATCAACAGTAACAGGACAATCTTCAAATCCAGTAAGTAGTTCCTAGGAGTATCTAAAGATTTTTAAATGTATGTATGTGTGTGTATGTATGGATAGATAGATAGATAGATAGATAGATAGATAGATAGATAGATAGATAGATAGATAGATAGGTAGATGCTCACCACTGTAATCCTAGCTCCTCAGGAGGCTGAGATCTGAGGATTATGGTTTGAAGCCAGCTTCGGCAGAAACTCCTTGAGACTTTTTTTCTTTTTCTTTTTTTTCTTTTTGCCTGTCCTAAGGCTTGAACTCTGGGCCTCGGCACTGTTCCTGAGCTCCTTTTGCTCAAGGCTAGCATGCTACTTCTTGAGCCACAGTGTCACTTCCAGCTTTTTCTGTGATTTAATTGGAGATAAAAGTCTCACAGATTTTCCTGCCTAGTCTGGCTTCAGTCCATGATCTCAGATCTCAGCCTCCTGAGTAGCTAGGATTACATGTGTAAGCCATGGTTGCCCAGCTTCCTTGATATTTTTATCTCCAATTAAACATTAAAAAGTTGAAAGTGGAAATGTGGCTTAAGTGGTGGAGTGTTAGATTTGAGCAAAAAGCTTAGGAACAGCGTCCAGGCCCTGGATTTAAACCCTAGGATCTACACAAAAATGAATAAACACAAATAGAAAGACAGAAAGAAAAAAAAGAAAGAGAAAGAGAGAGGGAAGGAGGGAGGGAGAGAGGGAGGGGGAGAGAGGAAAGAAAGAAAGGAAAACAGGTAGGAAGAAAGAAAGGAAAACAGGTAGGAAGAAAGAAAGAAAAGCAGGTAGGAAGAAAAGAAGGAAGGAAAAGAAAAGAACGAACCTGAAGGTCTTTTCAATATTTGTAAACGCCTATCAGAAATCACCTCACAGTTAAAAGATGTCACATAAAAGATGTCACATAAAAGATGTCACAGTTAAAAGATATGTCACATAAAAGTATATTCTATGATTAAGATTTTTTGTCATTTGTTTTATTTGCACGTTCCCTCATGGCATCTGCTCTTTTCCAGAAATCAAGAGAGAAAATATCTCTATCAAATACAACCACCAGAGACTTCTGTTAGGAGACACCCTTTTCCTGCAGTGTGTTGCAGAAACCACATACAATGGACGGATCAAACTGGATTGGGTATTTAACCGGAAAGATGTAAGGACACTGTCTTTGCTCTAGTTTTTACAAAGTCTGTCCATATCCTTGCTCCCTGCCTTTCCACTCTGTGCTTAGTCTAGGTCAAGAACCAGCCTAAGTGCTAGCAGGTCAACAATACTAAAAATTACAGCTGCTTTTCAGGAAGCGTGTCATATTGTGATTCATTTGTTACATACGTGGTTTATTAAAAATGCAGGCATAAGTTCACTTCTTCATATTTATTTGTTGGGCTTCATATTTGTTGGGCTTTTTAAAGAACTATTTTTTGTTTCATTTAAAAATTATCTTCAATTAGTTACACAAAAAGATTTTATTTCAACATGCCAATTTATTTATTTATTTATTGGGGGGGGGGTCCGGTCATGGAGCCTGATCTCTGGGCCTGGGCGCTGTCCCTCAGCTCTTCAGCTCAAGGCGAGCGCTCTACCACTTGAGCCACAGCGCCACTTCCGGCTTTTTTCTTTTTGCTTATGTGGTGCTGAGGAATTGAACCCAGGGCCTTGAGCATGCAAGGCAAGTGCTCTACCACTGAGCCACCTTCCCAGCCCTCAACATGTCAATTTATAAGTACAATACATCTTAATCAGTGTTATCCCTTCCATCATTTTTCCCTTCCTCTGTCTCAATACCACCCACTCCAGTTGACTTTTGGGCTTCTCTTTTGAGCCTTGAGATATGTTAATCATGTGTAACTTGTCAATGATCTCATTGAATTTCTATTCTCTCATCTTACCCCCTCAGTCTAAGAAAACCCCCAGGTGTTGCGAAGTTAAAAGGAACTTGTACCAAGGTTCCACTGTGTACAAAAGCTATAGTAATTTGACCATATGGAATGTAACCATGGAAGACAAGGGTTTGTACGTATGCAGAGAAGACAACAACACTGCCCTACAAGCCAACATCACCATCACTATATACAGTATGTAATTTCTTATTCTTCACTCTTTTTTTGAGTCATCTTGTGAATTGTTTACCTGAGTTGTTTACTTTTCTCCCCTTTTCATAGTGAATCATTCAGGTACTCCTACATTTATCTCCCAGTGTTAAGCTATCTACCACTTGGTTCCCAATGTTTCAGGATTTAAAGCCTATTTGCCCTTTTAACTTGACATATGGATTGCATACTGGGAAACATTGTGATATAGCTCTCATACCTTTCTTTTTTGGCTAACTAGAGGTATATAATTCAGAGAATTAAGGTGATGCAACTCATAAGTATTTTGGCCTAAATAAATAATGAAGAGTTCTGAGACTTCTTTGCCAATTTCTGTGTGCTTTTTGGACAAGTCTCTTTACCTCTCTAAGCTTCATTTTTATCATGTATAATATGATGATGGAGGGTGCCCCTTTGTAATGAGAGTATAGTAGAGAGAACTAAGTATAATTAATTTAACTAAATTACTTTGTTTTCATGTAAGTCTTTTCTTATAAAGATATTTGTATATCACCCATACATACATCCTCCAAGGTACACAATAATAGCCATAATTCTTCTTGGCACAATTATATAGACTATATTGATGAATATATACATGAATGCAAAAACTCAGTTTAAGTATGTATGAAAGTGCTCACCTATTAAGCCTAGAGGTTTATCTGAATTATATACCATGTGTTCAGCATTTACAAAGCTTTTGGTTCAAGCTTCAGCACCCCAACAAAGAAACAAAAAACACTTCATTTACAAATGCTAATATCAGGGGAGAGGGAGGTTGGGAGGGAAAAGACTGGAAGAAAATGAGGGAGAGGGTGGTAACATTGTTCAAAAAGAAGTGTACTAAATACCTGACTTATGTAACTAACTTCTCTGTACACCACCTTTACAATAAAAGTTAAAAAATACTAATATTAATCCATACATAAATATTACAAATATACAAACATTCTGGGTTTATTCTTTTTTTGTGTGGGTACTGGCGTCTGAACTCAGGGCCTTGCATTCTTACTTGGCTTTTTCACTCTCAAGGCTGGCACTATTCCACTTGAGCCACATCTCCACTTCCAAGTTTTTTTCTGGTTGGTTGTAGCTGAGTTTGCTGACTTCAAATCATGATCCTCAGATCTCAGACTTCTGAGAAGCTAGGATTACAGGCATGGGCCACTGGTGCCAGGATCCAGGATTCTTTTTTCTTTTTTTTTTTTTTTTCTTTTGCTTTTTTAGGGCCTGGGTGCTGTCCCTGAACTTTTGTGCTTAAGGCTACCACTCAGCCACTGGCAGCACATCTCTACTTCCAGCATTTTTGGTGGTTAATTGGAGATAAGAGTCCCACTGGTTTTCCTGACCAGGATGGCTTTGAAATGCAATCCTCAGATCTCAGCCTCCTGAGTAGCTAGGATTGGTTTTATTCTTTATAAAATTTTTTTTTTACTACCTTCAGTTCAGTTAAATGCTCTCCAGCTGAGTTTATGAACTAACATTTTTTAGTTTTCTCAGCCTCCTGATTCCACATCTCTTCAGTATCATTTGAGCTGGCTTTAGCTGAAAGCTACCTGATTAAATATAGCTTAAACGGTCAAAACACATACCATACATAATAGTCGAGATGAGCAGCTCCAGAGTTCATTGACTTAGTGGATCACCCGTTTCCTCTGAAAGCTAAATTCTTCTCATTATTTTACTCCATTTTGTCAGTATCTTCAAAGTGCTCAGCATGTTGCCAAAGTTCTATGACATTCTATATGACATTGATAGTGTCTCAAGAAAGGGAAAACTGGAATTCTTGTGACTTTTTTGTTCATTTTTAAACATTGGGCAACTTTTCCCAGAAGTCCCTTAGTGAACTTCTCCTCATGTTTTATTTATCAGAAATATAATTCTTGCCCAGTTTAAATAATCACCTGGCAAGGAATACAATCATTTTGAATAGTTTAAATGGGTGATTCTCAACTGGACAGTAGTTGAATGCATTGGGAATATATGAGGGGTATATTTTTTACTTTGTGAAAATGACTGGTATTAATGAGATAAAGGATTATAAACATCTTGTAAAATGTAAGACAATATTGTGCAGCAAAGAATTGGCATGCCTAATATGCAAATAGTGCCACCTTTTCTGAAAAGTTAACATGGAAAAACAATAGCTTTTGATGTGTGTGGGGAGGTCGGTCATGGGGCTTGAACTCAGGGCCTGGGATCTATCCCTGAGCTCTGTTGCTCAAGGCTAGCCCTCTACTACTTTGAGCCACAACACCATTTCCGTTTTTTGTTTTTTTTTGTTTTGGGGATTTTTTTTTTTTGTGGTTAATTGGAGATAAAAGTCTCACAGACTTTCCTGACCAGGCTGGATTTGAACTGTGATTCTCAGATATCAGCCTCCTGAGTAACTAGGATTACAGGCATGAGCCACCAGCGCCTGACTAACAATAGCTTTTGTCAATTAAAATTTTACTCCTTGGGATTTGGAAATACATGGCTGCTGAGACTTGAAGCCAAGGCTTTGTGAATGCTAAATACATACTGGACCATTGAGTTTCATCTCTCAGGCTCAATAGGCTAGGGCTTTTATGCATACTTGAAATGAGTTTTTGTATTTGTATATGTATTCCCCAGAATACTGTCTACCTCTAAAAGTGTGCTAAGATAAATATGGATATTATTGTTTGTATTTGAGTATAAGACGTGTGTGTGTGTGTGTGTGTGTGTGTGTGTGTGTGTGTGTGTGTGTGTGTCTTTACAAGAAAAGAACAACTTTCCGGATGTTGTATTCCTAGCCACTCAAGCTGCTGAGTTCTAAGAATTGTGGTTCAAAACCAAGTTGGCCAGGAAAGTCTGTGAGACTCTTATCTCCAATAAACTATTAAAAAGCCAGGAGTGGAGCTGTGGTCCAAGTAGTAGATCACTAGCTTTGAGCAAAAGAAGATCAGGAACAGTGCCTAGTCCCTGAGTTCAAGCCTCAGGACTGACACACACATACACACACAAAAGAACAACATGAATACAAGATAATTAGGTTAAACTGAAGTATACTTGAGTTCAAGCCTCAGGACTGACACACAAAAAAGAACAACATGAATGCAAGATAATTAGGTTAAACTGAAGTATACCTAATTCTCTCCAGTATTCAGTTTGTAGTAACACTAATATCGGCAAAATAAGCAAGGGAAGCTGGTCACTGTTGGCTCACGCCTGTAATCCTAGCTACTCAGGAGGCTGAGATCTGAGGATCTCGGTTCAAGGCCAGCCCAGGCAAGAAAGTCCATTAGACTCTTATCTCCAATTAATCACCAGAAAACCAGAAGTGGTGCTGTGGCGCAAGTGGTAGACCACTAGCCTTGAGCTGAAGAGCTCAAGGACAGCGCCCAGGACCAGAGTTCAAGACCCACAAATGACCAAAAAATAAATAAATAAATAAGCAAGGGATATCCTGCCACATCACCTCCTGCGGAGTCTGCGTGAGAGATCGTGTTAGACAAAGAGCTTCAAGGAAGCATGCCTGCAGGAAGGGGGTGTTGGTTCAAGGCTTCCCACACACTTGGCTGCACCTTTATAGCCTCTACCTTTATTCTTACTATATTCTTCTTGGCTGTATATTCGTTGCCTTTATTCTTGTTTTGGTTATTTTTCTATTGATCCGCGAACAGAGCATGTTGCTTCTTTCTAGTCCAATAGAGACAGCTTCTCTGAATAATAAAGACTAGGACCAAAGATTAAATGTGGGCAGTGCCCCAATCAATATATCATCTGATTTGACGCTGCCTCCAGAAACTCCTACAACTTCACAAGCAGTTTTGCGGCTCACTCATAGTAAATATAGAAACTTAAAATTTCTAGATATGTTACAACAGGCAGAGTTAATGAATTAAACTAAGCTAGAAGGAGTTATCCCAGAAGCTCAGAGAGTTCTAGAAAAAGGGACCCCTGATAATAAAAGGAAAAGAAAGATTCCCCCAACAGTTATGATTAAGTTTACTCAAGCTTACGTTATAGGGAATAGATGGTGGTTTCCCACAAAATATAAAGTTAGTGACATCACATTTCTTGAACCGACCAATGAACTATTGTCTTATACAGGAGCATATAAAGATGAAAATAGATGGATTAATGTAAAAGGAAAAAGGGTATTTTGGAACTCATTAAATTTTATACAAAGATTAGGTAGATCTAGACCATTATGGTGTTTATTATTAAAACAACAACAAGATAGTTTAAAATAACAATTAGAAATTTATGTGAACAAATATTGGGATTAAAATGATAAAAAACGGAGAATGGCTGACTTAACCTAGAAGTGGATTTTAGGATGGTTTTAAAGGGACTTGAAAATATATGAAAAAAAATAAAAAGAGTACAATATAAGTACAGCCCTGTCTTAGGTTTGTTAATTATTAAACATAAAAAGGCTGAATAGATGACACATTCTATTAAACTATATGCTAGACTTGTTTCGCACCACTTAGCTTAAGCAGTTGGTGGGATAGTCATCAATTTTCATGTAATCCACCAATGCTTTACTTTTCTTAAAAATTGATTACATGCTTAAATAAACAAAGAATCTATGTCACAATCACACACTGTATAAAAATGTTAATTCTCCTCAATAAAGATACACTCAGCTGCAACTCTTTTGAGTCTGTGTCTGTTTGTCACTTCGCCCACTCGTTGCTCACCTATCCCGAGATCCCTGTCCCATCAGTTCCAGTGCTCCGGCCGAGCTGGTCCATCGCAATATCCTTCATATTATATATGATAAAAATGAAGCCTAGAGATGTGAAGTGACTTGTCCTAAAGCACACAGAAAATTGGCAAAAATGACACATGACTCTTTACTTAGGCCAAAATTAGTATTCAGTTTTATTTTCTTGCTCTGACATTCCTGCTGTGATTTCAGAGAAACCATTCCTCAATGTGAGCTACAAGAGAAGCCGCATTTATGAAGTCACAGCTGGACAAAGAATGTTTAAAATAGGAGTAAGGGTGGATGCTTTTCCTCAGCCCAATGTCACCTGGTAAGTGAGCCTCCTTTCCTGGGATTCACTGTTCCTGAGTCTGTTAACTTTCACCTTTACAATTTACTCTTTATTCATACCCTTACAGCAGAGACCCTGTCTTGGGCATGGATGCTCACAAATAATCCTAATTCTACCCTCAGGGTGCCTGTACTCTCAGAAATTAGTTCTTTTTTTCTGCTTTCTCAAGGTTTCTTTCATTATATTATCTTTCTTTCCTTCATCATTCCTGGGGAAAATGAGTTTTCCTATCAGAAAAGAGAATAGATAATAAATCTTGATAGATAGCTAAGGTCATTAAAGATAGGCTTTATCAATCATATTTTGAAGGACTCTTAAAGATGGTCTTCCCCAGACCAGTAGAGGTCCTTGAACACTAGGGTAAGAAGTTACAACATTTTTAAATAGATAGCCATGTATTTTAATTTGATTCTGTAAGTTACCCAGAATGTTGCTTAAACCCAGTTTCTTGACCTGCAAATTTTCCTGAGGATTAAATAAAATAATATTATTTCATTTGTCACTATTGCTTATTTTAATAGGGAATGGAACACTATCAAAAGTTCTGGAGAGCTGGGCACAGTGTAATCCTACCTATTCAAGGAAGCAGAGATTACAAAGATTGTAGTTCTAAGGCCACCCAGGGAAAAAGTGCACAAGGTCTCATATGAACCATTAAAAACCTGAATGTGGTAGCATGTGCCTGTCATTCTAGCTATTCAGAAAGTATCAATAGGAGGATTGAGTTCTAAGTCAGCTGGAGCAGAAACTCAAGATTCTGTTAAAAAAAAAACTAAAACAACAAGGGTGGAGGCATGGTTCAGGTGGTTGCAAGCTTGAGGCTTCAAGTTCAAAAGCCAGTATTTCCTTTACCTAAAAGGTTATATAGTGTGGAATAATTGATTTGAAGTGAGCTTTAGAAGGATGAATGTGGTCTTATGTGTGTAGAATGGTAACAGAGAAAGACTGGAAGAAATGCTGCTGTTGTTGAAATTTATGATAATAGCTTTTTAGAGACCTACTGTGGCATGAACAAGCTGGAAGTAATGGGAATATAATAAAGAATGGGCTGGGGAAACATTACAGACATAACATTCTCAGGATTTAGGATCCAGTTAGATGTAGGAATTATTCCCAATGATCTGAGGTATTTTATCACTTGAAATTTGGTAAAGTGTAAGCGTGATCATTCTGTTAACAATCCTGGCTTCATTGGGATGAAAAAAGCTGTGGGAGGAATGAGAAAAGAACTCCAAGAAGAGCTCACTCAGAGATGTTCATGAACATTTGGAAATAGGGTCTAGAATGAGGTGCTGGAACTGTGACCTTGGGAGTCATCATGTGGGAGTAACTGAATATACTGAAGCAAAGAGGTCAGAGTTCAAAGGCAAGATCCAGAGTAACATTTATGTGTTTGGACATTCATAGTTACACACATTTGTTATGCACTACTATTAATTGATAAAAGTACATCTTAGCACTGCATGTAAGTACATGTCCAAATCTCCCTCTTTTTGTATCCTATATGTCTGCCATGTTTTTTAAGTGTTTGATTAAAAAAAACTTAAAGGAGACTAAAAGGGAAACAAAAAGTCAGTGAAAAGAGAAATAATGCTTAGAACAGTTTCCAGAAGCTAAGAGAGGAGGAATTGGTGTCTGAGGTCAAATACCCTAGATCTGATCGTCATGAATGCTAAGAGAAGGTTAGTAGTTTGATAATTAAAGTATTATTGGTAAACAGAGAAGAGGAAATTTCAAAAGAATGGCATGAAGAAAAATCCGATTTTATAGGGTAAAAGAATGGATGGAAAGTAAGGAAGTAGAAGGGGGAGGAGGGGGAGAAAGGAAAGGAAGGAGGAAGGGATGGAGAGAAGGAAGGAGAGAAAGTGTGAATGGAAGAGGGAAAAAGAAAAAGAGATATTTTCCAAAAGTTTTGAACATTAAGGAAAAGAAGAGAGACAGAACAGTTTGCTTTCAATGTGACTGTACTAAGGGGCTTCTGCCAGGCAATTTCATGTAAAAGATTCCACTGCTTTGCTTCAGTTTGTTGATCATGAGGAAGCATAAGTAAAATGTTCTCTGGGTAAAAGGTTAGATGTCTCAGCAGACAGCATCATATATTAATCATTCCTCCCCTATACCTCATAGGTTCAAAGATGGAAAGCCACTCCCAGAAAACCATACCTTCCAATATGACCCTCTTCAATACAGATTCACAATCCTGGAAGTGAACGTGGGACATGCTGGGAACTACACTTTTGCTCTGAGCAACACCAAACATGGCCTGTATAAAAATCTTACCATACAACTAATTGTTAATGGTGAGTCTGGAGGATTTGAAATCTGTACAACAGCTCTGGGTTCCTTTCTTGACATTATTAGAAAAGGGATTTAAAGCAGGAATCTGATAGGAGTTATCTTAGCCATAGAAAAATAGGAATTTTTTTTTTCCTTTGTGCCAGTACTGGGGCTTGAACTCAGAACCTGGGTACTATTCCATAGCTTTTTTGCTTAAGGCTGGCAACTCTACCATTTGAGCCACACTTTCAATTGCAGCTTTTTTTGTGGTTAACTGGAAATAAGAATCTCACAGTCTTTCCTGCCTATACTGGCTTCAAACTATGGTCCTCGTATTTCAGCCTCTTGAGTAGCTAGGATTACAGACAGGCATGAGACATTGGTACCTGGTGAAGTGGGACTTTTGGAAGCACATTTTGGTTACCTAGAATTTGCTGCCTAACCTTTTATGCTGAAAGCACTTAGAATTCTGATGAGTTAATTATACATCTCTTTACATGATAGAGATATAATTGGTCTCATCTTTTTGAAAAAAAAATGTAATGTGAGGTGTGGAAAACCTAAACTCCTTCTGAGTGCCCCTCCCCCCTATTTTTTTACATTGAATGGGACTTGAAGGAGAGGATCACACTGTTGTCCATTGTTCATTTGGAGTCATTTTTGGTAGTTTCCCTTGAAAGTAATGCAGCCAAGCTCATATAAACATGTTTTCGTTCATGTGTCAAATCCCGAAAAAAAAAATCATATGGTGTAACTTTAAAAGGAGGGGGCTGGGAAGGTGGCTCAGTGGTAGAGTGCTTGCCTTGCATGCATGAGGCCCTGGGTTCCATTCCTCAGCACCACATAAGCAAAAAGAAAAAAGCCGGAAGTGGCGCTGTGACTCAAGTGGTAGAGCACTAGCCTTGAGCTAAAGAGCTGAGGGACAGCGCCCAGGCTCAGAGGTCAGGCCCCACGACTGGAACCAAAAAAAAAAAAAAAAAGGAGGAATTATAAAAGATGGTTCTTTGGGGTGAACCATTAAGATTAAAGATTGGCAAAGGATAGAGAGAAGTGGTGAATATAATTGAGGTACATTATACATACTTATGAAAATAACATCATGAGATGCACTAAAACTGTTTATGCATAAGAGTGTGGTTAAGAGAGCCATTGGCCAGGTGTCAGTAGCTCATACCTGTAATCCCTAGCTGCCAGAAATGGTGTTGTGGCTCAAAGTGGTAGAGCACTATACTTGAGCACAAAAGCTCAAGGACCAGGCTAGGAAGGTGGCTCAGTGGTAGAGCACTTGCCTTGCATGCTCGAGGCCCTGGGTTCAATTCCTCAGCACCACATAAGAAAAAAGCCAGAAGTGGCGCTGTGGATCAAGTGGTAGAGTGCTAGCCTTGAGCTGAAGAGCTGAGGGACAGCGCCCAGGCCCAGAGTTCAGGCCCCGCGACCGGACCCAAAAAAAAAAAAGCTCAAGGACCATGCCAGGCCTTGAGTTCAAGCTCCAGTACCAGCACAAAAAAAAATGGAAGGAAGGAAGGAAGGAAGGAAAGAAGGAGCCATTAGAGGACTAAATTTATCAAAAGATATTTTATGTATATTATGTAAATATAATTAATTTAGATTAATAAAAAGAACTAAGTGATAACATCAAATTATAGGCATTTATCTGTAAATGATATTTCATTCTTTATGGCTGAATAATATTCTACCTCCCCATACTGCTCATTTCAAAGATGAGAAAACTGAAGCAGGAAGTAAGAAAATAACTTCTTCAAGATCTCATATAAAATGCTGTAAAACAGCCAAACTTAAGTGATTTTTGTTTTAGTTAAATTATAGATAAGGCACTGTTTTATAGATTCCAAATTATAATGATTTAAATGAGAGAAGTTTACTTCTTGCTCACATAACTACCTTCATGTAAACAATCTAAAGTGAAGGAGCCAGGGCTTTTTGTTGCTTTACAATTGTTCTCATACATACCGTCTCAGCAATTTACCACCAAATGAGGAAGGAAGGTCTACATTTTATCATTTGTGACATGGAAGTTTTACATATCCCCAAATTTAATCACATGGCTGATGCTTATTGCTATGGATGGGAAACAGTCTTTGAATGGCCGGTCATTTTCCCTGTTAGTAGTATGGAGAGAAGAAATATGGGGACAATTATAAGTATGTACCAAATTTATAATTGCAAAAGTGTAGTTAAGAGACAAAGTCCTAAACTTCTTTATGCTTCTTTTCTGTAGTTCTTTTGATGGACACTTTCTTCAGTGTTTTTATACACACACACACACACACACACACACACACACACACACACACACACACACACACACAGAGTAAAGGTGATGAATGAGGGGGCGTTACAATTATGAAAGTATTAAGCCTGGATAGAACTGTGACCATTTTTTTCATTTCAGTGTCTCATGAGAAGATATGAACCAGAAAGGAGCACATTTGGGTTAGTTTTGTGCTTTCCTATGATATCAGAGGCTTGCACTGTTGGAGATGAATTGGTAGGATTGAAGGGAAAATGTGCTTTTCTCAATAGCTGCAGCATCCACTATTAGTTAACTCCACATACACAATTGAAGAAGCAAAGTAATTGCACAATTTGCAGCTCTATGAAGAAGGGCCTGTATCTGTTTCTCTGACTGCCCTACTTATCACAGGAACAACCAGGCTACTTCATGGCTTTAGATTTCTTTGTAATCACTTGGGAGTCATATCTGGGATATGTGTCCCTATTTTATGGGAAAACAGAAGTAAGGAGAAAGGGAGGAGACAGGATTAGCATTACTCCCTCCTAGAAAGTTAGGGATATTCTTCTTGAGGAGTCTTCAGAGAAGATTGTCTCATATTCTTCTGTTTTGGTACTCCTCAGAGTCAGATTCCTCTTGAAAAGCCTTCTAACATTAAAATATTTTCTGGGGTCATGAGTGTGGCTAAGTGGCACAGCATCTGGCTAGCAAGTACATAACCCTGAGTTCAAATTTGAGTACCATACAAAAAATTCTGATCAGCTGGTTGTCATGACATTTCCTGAAGTATACTCAGTAGCCTTCCCAAGGCCAAACTACCTATTAAAGGATCTCTATCAGTCCATACTTGCACTGCCCTAATGACAATTCAGGGCTGATAAATTGGTAAGTTAACCAAGTGGAAGGTGATAGAGTGAGGAGAGGTATCCTCAGAGAGATATTTGCCCAGCTGGGCACTGGTGGCTCATGCCTGTAGTCCTAGCTAATCAGGAGGCTAAGATCTGAGGAGTGCGGTTCAAAGCCAGCTAGGCAAGAAAGTCTGTGAGACATTTATGTCCAATAAACCACTAGAAAACTGAAAGTGGCACTGTGGCTCAAGTGGTAGAGCACTTGCCTTGAGCTGAAGAGCTGAAGGACAGTGCCCAGGCCCAGAGTTCAAGACCCACGACTGACAGAGAGAGAGAGAGAGAGAGAGAGAGAGAGAGAGAGAGATTTGCCCTACTTCTAATTCAGAAGTTTCCAAACCTAGTCTTTCTCTTCCCCCAAGAAGAGGCATTATGGTGGTTATAATAGTATATAACATATAACCTTGGATACCTTTTGTTCTAGGATAGTTCTATCTTGAGAACATAAAACAATACCTATTTATGTGAACTTGAAAGGCAGAAACTAAATGTTAAAGAGTGGTTTTTGTTTCTGTTCTTGTTTTTGTGATCTTCATCCTGGGGCTTGAACTCTATCAGTCTGAGAGCTTTCTCTGAGTTCCTTTGCTCAAGGCAGGCACCCTGCCACTTGAGCCACAGTTCCACTTCTGGCTTTTTTGGTTGTTGATTGGAGATAAGAAGACTCTTCTGCTTAGGTTGGTTTCAAACTGTAATCCTCAGATCTCAGCCTCCTGAATAACTACGAATACAAGGGTGAGCCACTGGAGGTTGGCTGATTTTTTTTTTGAACTCTTACTAGAATCTGGATATTAATCCTTTATCCACTGAATAGTGGGCAAAAATTTCCTCCTATTCCATGGGTTGTCTCTTGATTCTGGAAACTATTTCTGTGTTTATGAATCTGAGTCTACATTACCTAGTTTCTGTGTCCACATTGATTATCAGTGTAGTCACTTGTTTTGCAATGAGGGAAGGTTAAGCTTTTTGGGGTTTGGGTTACAGAAATGCAGGAATTTCTGCCCTCCCCAGGTGAGACTTTGTCTTTAAGATCTCTCCTTAGTTGTTATTCCTCCATGGGTGCTATGAGTTAAGATGTGCAGGGTCTCCTTCTGGTGTTTTTGCTTGTTGTACAAGATGCAGAGCTCTAGTCTCTTTTTATGCCAGTACTGGGGCATGATTTTGGGGCCTGAATTCTGTCTCAGCCTTTTCACTCAAGGCTAGTGCTCTACCACTCAAGCCACACTTCCACTTCTATTCTTTTAGTGGTTAATTGGAGATAAGAGCCTCATGGATATTCTTGCCCCAGCTGTCTTGGATCCAAGATCCTCAGATTTCAGCCTTCTGAGTAACTAGGATTACTGGTATCAGGCTGATACCAAGCTAGAACTCTCAGCTTGTGTACCATAGGATATTCCATAGAAGGCTTCCTTTTCTCTTTTGCTTGCAATCCCCTTGAGATTCTCTACCTTCCTTAATGTTTTTTCTTAGTGTTATGTGTTATTCTTTTGTTTGCTTTATAAATCTAAAGTTTTGAATTGAAACCTCTTTGTACAATACTTAATGATAGTAAAATAAATACAAAATATAAGCATAAACATAGGGTTTAATATATCTGGATTTTCACCAGTTTCTAAATGTCTGTTTACTGTACCTTTATTTGTCTTTCCATGCCAGCTACCACTCCTTGCAGCCACGCATCTGAAGTTTTACTTTAGACTTGTGGTAATGCAGGAAGTGCTAAGTAACTGTGGTTTCACATCTTCTCTCTTGTTGGTTTTCTTAAGTGCACATCCAAACAATAAATGTTGTTGTTGAAAATAGAAAATACAATGTCTTCTTGTAATTAAGTTCAACATATAAGTTGAGAAATGAATTTGTGCCCAGGTTAGAGTAGTGAATTTGATTTTCAGCCTTGCTTTTATTAAAATTGCAGTCTAAAAGAATATTTTGAAATCCATAGGTCTTGTCATTTAGAACTTTGGAATTCATTTGGCCTCAAAGAGTTCTGTTGCACTTACTGGACTGTAACTTGAAGTGGTATTAAATATATTTCACAACAGGCTGAGGAGGTGGCTCAGTGGTAGAGTGCTTACCTTGCATGAATGAGGCCCTGGGTTTGATTCCTTAGTACCACATAAGCAGAAAAAGTTGGAAGTGGCGCTGTGGCTCAAGTAGTAGAGCTCTAGCTTTGAGCTGAATCACTAAGGGACAGTGCCCAGGCCCAGAGTTCAAGCCCCACAACCGATAAAATATATATATATATATATATATATATATATATTTTACAACAAGCACATATGTTGACTAGTTAAGTCAGACCATAGTACTATCACTAGATGCAGGCAGGTGAGGGTTAGTGAGGTTTCCTTTTAATTGTAGGAACTCTTCACTTAGGATCCTTGACTGTCCTGAAGGTCTGAGGAGACATTTTTTTGAGTTGTCTGAAATATACATACAACACTCAGCTTTTATAATTGTTCAGGTTCCTCCTGGAGCTGCAGTAAGGATGTCTAAAACTTGTCTCATCGTTTTCACCTCTGAATTTAACAAAGAGAGATTCTTTTGGCAGTATCATTGAAGACTTGCTGGATGTGTTTGTTAAAGGATTCTATATGCCGTAAACATCCCCCAGGCTCATAGATGGAATGAGGACAGAGGCCAGGTGATCACACCAGTGGAAAACAGACCTAGTCCACCTATATGTTGTGGTAAATTTGCCAGCTTTGTTAAAGTTGGGACCCATCTGCCTGCATCCAGGGAAAATCTATAGAACAGCATCCTATCCAACCCAGTGCCAGGCACAGTTTGGTCCCACAAAGCCATTTGGTGCCATTCCTAGTTGCCCAGCGTGTATTTATGTTATAGAATGCAGGTGAGGGTTAGTGCAGTTCCCCCTTTTTTTTTTTTTTTTTTTTTGTCGGTCGTGGGGCTTGAACTCTGGGCCTGGGCGCTGTCCCTCAGCTCTTCAGCTCAAGGCGAGCGCTCTAACACTTGAGCTACAGCGCCACTTCCGGTTTTCTGGTGGTTTATTGGAGATAGGAGTGTCACGGTCTCTCCTGCCCCGGGCTGGCTTTGAACCGCGATCCTCAGATCTCAGCCTCTTGAGTAGCTAGGATTACAGGCGTGAGCCACCAGCGCCCGGCTGCAGTTTCCCTTTAAATGTAGGAACTCTTCACTTAGGGCCCTTGACTTTGATCACAGAATAAGAATTTCTGGACAAGTCAGGATGGTAAGAAAATTTGGTGAGATTATTGAGTAAGAACACAGCAGGCAAGCAGACAGAGGCACATTCCAACATAATGTGGTGTTCTCACGCGCAGGAGGGTACATGGGGGGGAGATACACACACAGCTCACAGCTCTTTGGCTGTTAGAGATATTTAAAGGCAGGGGGTCTGGCTTCGAAGTTATGCAAAGACAGATGTTTTACTTTTGCTCTATTTCTGGATGTTGAGGGACATTTCTTCCAGGTAATAATTCTTCCCATCATAAAGCAGATCTTTATCCTTGATATAAGGAAGGAGACCTTCTATCTGCATTTTGGGAAGGAGGTTGCTTAAATTTTGAGGAAGCATTTTTCCCAGGAATGCATACATTCTGTCAGACAAATGTTAATTCTTGTTTGAGAAACGCATCCCTCAGGAAGGAATACATCCTATTGACTCTCTTTGAAGCAAAGATAGCACTTCTGTTTTTCTAAATACCATATTTCTGAGTTGCCTTCATCTGGCCTCATTTTCCTTAAGTTATTCTGTCTCAGTACAGGTACTACTATTAGATTCTCCCTGCTGAGTCAGGTATCTATTAGTTGCTAGTGTTACTCAGCTTTTCATTACTGTGACAAAACACCTGAGACAAACAACTTAAAATGACAAAGGACATTGGTTAACAGTCCATGGGCAGCTAACTCCATTTTTTCCTTGTTCTGTAGTGAGGTAATAGATCATAGGAGGAGACTGTGACTGGGATAAAAAAATTTTTTTCTGGGTGCCAGGGGCTCACATCTGTAATCCTAGCTACTGAGCAGGTTGAGATCTGAGGATCACAGTTCAAAGCCAGACCCAACAGAAAAGTACATGAGACTCTTATCTCTAATTAACTAAAAAAAAAGCTGGAAGTGGAGCTGTGGCTCAAGTGGTAGAGTGTTAGCCTTGAGCACAAAAGCTCAGTGACAGTGCCCAGGCCATGAGTTAAAGCATACATACACAGCCACAGAAACATACATACAACAACAACATCAACAACAACAACAGACAACATCCCAAATCATTGGAGTAGAAATGGGTAGGGCAGAGTGTTAGTATTGTGCTCACCTTTGGTCCTCAGCTCCACCCAGACTTGGGCTCCCTCCCATTCCTGGAGTTCCCTGCATACAGCTGGCCCCTCCCTCTCTCTGCCCAGACCCACCTGAACTGCGATCCACCTCACTTCCTATCCCCCAGACCCTGCTGCTACCTGGATGATGACAGAGGCCATGTGCTCCCTCTTGGGGGAAATATGGCTCCTCGAATAAACCTTATAATAATCTTTCTCCTGTGCCTGCCTGCCTCTCCATGGTTCCCTGGGATGGATGTGTCCGATCCTCTGTCAGAGGATTTGGATAAGCCTCCAAGGACACAGTCTCAAAATACTTACATTTAATCAGATTTCTACCACCTGCTTCCATTACTTCCTAATGGCTCAACAAATTACAAACCTGTTAATTAATTATCCTTTGATGAGATCAAAGCCTTCATGAACCAGTCACATTTCCCAAACCTTGGTTCTGAACATTGCTTCATTGGTGACTAAACTAAGCATTCAACATGTCGTTTTTTGTGGGTCATTTCAGATCCAAACCCATTACATTGGTAGGTCATGGAGATATCATAGGTGAATGGGAAATTCCTTGGCAATTTCTAGGGTGAAGACAGAAGAGAGTTCATAGGAGTCTTGGAACAGCACATGTTTATAAATGGATGCAAAATTTTACAAAAAGTTTATTTTAAATCTATGATACCTTTCCTTTATTTTCCTTTATGTAGGATGTTAATCTCTACAATGTTAATCCCCTCTTTTCTAGAAAAACCTAAAATCTATGAGAAGGAGACAGATTTAAAGAACATTCAGCCAGTGTTCCTGGGCAGTGAGAAAATTCTTCATTGTACTGCAAGTGGTCTTCCTACACCTTCCTTCTTATGGGCCTGGGAACCCTGCAGCCAGGTGGATGAGTTGTAAGTTATTTGCAGGCTTAGTAACTTGTCATGATGCAGATTTCCTTCATTTGCAGACTTATGTGAGGAACCAGCAAGTCCAAGATCTTATCAGAAGACTGTCTGTCATCTGACAGGCTCTGCAGTTAGTCTTTGAATGGGGCCCAGGAAGATAAGAGGCTCCACAAACTTCTATACCCCCAACTTTGCTGTTTCCTTACTTCCAAACTCACTTCTTAGGATAATTCTAAGAATTGTTATCACCAAGAAATAATAGTTGTTATGATTATTGGGCCAGGGAAATTTAGGTTTAGGTTGGAGAAGAATATAATTTAATTTGGGGAATAGACTTTAATAGGATTTAATTTGGAGTAGAATAGAACAAGGAAAATTTCCAAGTATGTCATTGTACAGAAAAGTTTCAGTAATGGGCTTGAAATGTGGACATGTCTCATTGGTTAAAAAATTGCTTTCATGATATGTCTGATTAGAATAGTAACCATGTTTATCAAATCTATAAGAGAATAGCATCTTTAGATCAGAGTAACTCCTTTTACCTTTCAGTGATCCTTGCATAGGATGGAACAGAGGGATACCTCTTCCCCAGTAACAAATAGAGATCTAGAAACTAAGGGGAAAAATGATGGTCATAAAACGTAGAGTCAATGGAGATATGTCAATGTTTTCCTGAGTGTTAGCTCATTTGAACTCTGTTTTTTAAAGTTCCAGTACCATGCATGCCTGAAGCATATTAGATTCTTGGTCTATTTTAAATTGAATGCCACCGTCATCTTTAAAACAAGTAGATGAAAGTGTCTACTATAAAAATCAGAGAAAGGAATAAGGAAATTCAGCTAGGCTAAATAAATTGCCTAAATTCCAGAGTAGAGTTTGATAGAATTTCACTGTTTACTTACTACCTGTCACAAAATTCTCTCTACAGGCCAGCCTGTAGAGAAATTTTATGCCTTCTAGTAACTTTGGAATGGTGTGGATAACCTATTTAGGTTTCAGTTATTGTCTAAAGGTTGATGTATTTACTTTCCAGGAAGTTAACTTGGTTAACTCACTGATTGCTATACTGTGCTGAAAGAGAGTTCTGAGCAGATAGCCATGGATTAGCAAGAATCACCTAGGGCTATTGAACTCTGAATGGGGGATTCCTAGGAAATGCTTGCCCATTCAGGGAGAAATTTAGGAAATTCAGCCGTTAGAGCAAGCTCTAATTTTCAGGTAGTAGGGGAATTTAGTGTTGTCTCCCACTGCTGCCTAGCTGACTTCCAGAGACGCCAACTCCATTCAGTTGTCCACGGGATACATAACAGATGGATCCTTTAGGAATGGACACATCCTTATCTCCTCTCCTTAGGCATTAGAAAAGGCATCCTGGATGTTGTAACAGTGGTTCTGTCCACTTACTTTTGGCTTTGTCCTATTTCTTTTCTTCACTGGCATTTGGTAATTCAGCTAAAATGATGCCAATTGCATTGTTTTTATACCTTTCTATGTGCTGGAGACATTTCCTACAAAATGACTCTCCTACCAAAAATTTCACTAAAGAAATAGTTTCTTAGTACATAGTTACACAGTTTGTTTTTTCTTTTCATTTTTTTTTGTGTGTGGGGGGTCTGGTCATGGGGCCTGAACTCTGGGCCTGGACACTGTCCCTCAGCAATTCAGCTCAAGGCTAGCACTCTACCACTTGAGCCACAGTGCCACTTCTGGCTTTTTTCTTTTTACTTATGTGGTTCTGAGGAATGGAAACCAGGGCCTCATGCATGCAAGGCAAGCGCTCTACCACTGAGCCACCTTCCCAGCCCTAGTTACACAGTTTCTTAGTAGATAGTTACTGTATTTCAAGAGCAATACCAGTTTCTGTCAGGCTCATTCATGTAAAATTAAAGTCTTATTTATTTTTATGAAAAAACACCTGAGTAATCTAATACTAGTTCCATTTTTAATGAGGAAACATGTTCAGAAATTAAAGTAATTTTCAGAAGGCATAAAGCCAACAGTGCTTGGATATGAATCCCAAGTTTACTAAGTTTCTTATTCCTATCATTTCATCTAGAATCTCTCTTCAAACAGATTTTAGCTAATCAACAGTGCCCAGACCTCTAGACATGTTTGTCTTTGCTTAAGATTCAGAAAGGAAAAATTTAATTGGGAAGAGGTAACAGTAAAGGAGAATCACAGACTATATATCATCTAGATACAAGGGTCTGTTCTAAATAAGAAAAACACTGATCTTAAGGTCAATGGCCATCAGTTGCATGGATCTCTTCGTTCTTCTAACATCTCTGCTTAGGACCTTTTCAAAACCTCCCATGCTCCTAGATTGGGAGAATTAACATCATGAAAATGCCAATACTGCTAAAAGCAATCTACAAATTCAATGCAATACCCATCAAAATCCAAAAACTTCATATGAAATAATAGAAGAACCCCCAATAGCAAAAACAATACTTAGCAGGAAGAAGAGTGCTGGAGGAATATCAATACCAAACTTCAAACTCTACATTATAAAGTCATAGTTATAAAAACAGCTTGATTCTGGCACATGAACAGACCTGAGGACCAATGGAATAGAATTGAAGACCCAGGAATGAACCCACAGATCTATGGCCACCTAATCTTTGATAAGGGAGCCAAAAACACAGGATGGAAGAAAGACAATCTCTTCAACAAATGGTGTGGGCAGAATTGGCTAAGCATGTGTAGAAAACTGAAGTTAGATCCTTATATATCACCCTGAACCAGAATAAATTCCAAATTGATCAAAGACCTCAATGTAAGAACAGATACCTTTAAAATATTACAGGAAGGGATAGTGAAATACTAGGGCTCCTTGGCACAGATCGAAATTTTTTCAATAAAGATCCAGAAACACAACAACTCAAAGAAAAGTTGGATAAAGGAATTGTATTAAACTGCAGGGTTTCTATACAGCAAAGAACATAGCTAGCAAGATAAATAGAAAGCCCACAGATTGGGAGACAGTGTTCACTAGCTATACAACAGACAAGCGCATCATAACTAAAATATACTTATAGCTCAAAAAAATTAACCCCTCCCAAAATAAATCCTCAAAGAAACAACAACTCCATCAATAAGTGAGCTAAAGATTTAAAGAGAGACTTCTCTGAAGAAGAAATAAGAATGGCCAATATACACATGAAGAAATATTCAACATCTCTGGCCATAAAAGAAATGCAAATCAAAACAACATTGAGATGCCACCTCACCCCAATTAGAATGGCCATTATCAAGAAAAGTAATAATAACAGATGATGTTGGGAATGTGTTCAAAAGGCAATGCTACTACACTCACTCAACCACTCTAGAAAGAAGTATGGTGGTTCCTCAAAAGACTAAACATAGAGCTCCCTATGATCCAGCAATCCCACTCCTGGGCATTTACCCAAATAACCACAAACAAGGCCACACTAAAGCTACCAACACAACCATGTTCATTGCCGTATTATTTACCATAGCTAAGATATGGAATCAACCCAGATGTCCCTCAGTGGATGAATGAATCAAGCAAATATGGTATATATACACAATGGAATTCTATGCTTCCATCAAAAAGAATGGCATTGCCCCCATTTGTAAGGAAATGGAAAGATTTGGAAAAAATTATATTAAGCAAAGGAAACCAGACCCAAAGAAACATAGGCTTCATGGTTTCCTTCATTTGTAACAACTAAAATATGTCTAGGATACTCTTAGCAGAGGATCACAATAGCTCAACAGTTATGTGTATATGGTTATATAAAATGATGCCTTTTGAAATGAACTCCAAGAAATGGAAACAAGGTTTTTTTTTAGTGTTTGTACTTCTTCCCACCCCCATCCCCCATTTTGTCTTGTATATAAGTTTATCTGATTTGAGGAAAGAAAGGGGAATCACAGAAATAGGACAAAAGGTGAACCACTATTGAGTGATACTCACTAGACACTATGTTGGAAATGAACATTACAACTTGGGGGGAAGGGGAGTATGGAGGGAGGAATGGGAGAAAATTTGGGAAGGGGTAACACTGTTCAAAGAGAAATGTATTCACTACCTTACTTAGGTAACTGTAACCTCTCTGTACATCACCTATACAACAATTTTTTTTAAAAGAAAGAAAAAAAGATTCTTAACTTGACCTGAAATTGTCTTCTTACAGAAATATTTCTGCTTTTATTTATTTATTTCAGGGCTCTGCTCATTAGTTTTTATTACCACAGAAATATTCCCTGATAATAAGATCTAAAACATGCATATTTCTAGCTTTGTTTTGGATTGCTAAAATGAAAATGCTTGAGAATACATAATTTACAAAGAGAAGAAATTCATTTGATAATTAATTTTTAATACGTTTTTATTGTAAAAATACTGTACAGAGGGGTTACAGTTACATGAGCAAGGTAATGAGTACATTTCCTATCATGCATTGTTACCTCCTCCTTTGTGTTTCCCCTATGATAATTGATTTTTGAGTCTGACTATTCCAGAAGAATGCCATTGGCACACAATGAGAGCCTACTTTCCTGTTTATCAGCAACCCATTCCTATGATAATGATATTCATTCCTTCAGGAGAGCATGACTTAACAAGACTTTAAAGTGTACTACCTTTCTAAACTTGTATTGGTGGTGGTTAAGATTCCAACAAAGGAATTTGGGGGGACATATTCTAATTATAACAACAACCAAATGACTTATTTGACTTTTGCTTAGATGAGGTTTAAATGGGTTTAAAGAAGAGACTTCTTGTTTGGGATTCTCTGATGACAATATGTCCTAGATTAGAAGTATGTGCTCTCTGCAATGCTCAATGTACCATCTATTATTTCTGGTGGAAAGACTGTAAATGTAATCACTTTATTTCCCAGGTGTATGCAACGGGGCAAACGTATGCAGCTTTCCAACAAGACACAGAAAAGTGACCTCACTACAGGCAACAGGATTCTTTCTATTGAAGAAATGGTATTGAAACATGGAGAAAAGACTAAGGTAGATTGCTGAGGGTTAGAAGTCACAAAGCTCAGTAAATCTGGCCTGTTCTCCTCACACTGATAACACATTCCAGGGATGCCTACTTTCTAGGGATTGATGAGAAAATAGTATTGATTATAAAACACAAGCTTTATTGCTCTCCTTTTAGACACAGTCTCACTGTGTAGTTCCCACTGGCTTCAAACTTGTTTTATAACAGAGACTAGCTACAAATTCAGAATCCTTTTGGTTCTGCTGCGAAGTACTGGGATGATGGGAACACCAGCACACCCAGAGTTTAGTTTCCCTTAAAAAACAAATCCTTATCCGGGCGCTGGTGGCTCACGCCTGTAATCCTACTCAGGAGGCTGAGATCTGAGGATTGCGGTTCAAAGCCAGCCAGGGCAGGAGAGACCGTGAGACTCCTATCTCCAATAAACCACCAGAAAACCGGAAGTGGTGCTGTAGCTCAAGTGGTAGAGCACTCGCCTTGAGCTGAAGAGCTGAGGGACAGCACCCAGGCCCAGAGTTCAAGCCCCGCGACTGACCAAAAAAAAAACAAAAACAAAAACAAAAAAACAAATCCTTATATCAATATCATCATTGCCCCCAAGGTCTTGAAAATAGCTGAATTAGGCTTTAAATCAAGGATGAAGGGCCTTTCTTCTGCCAAGTTCCATTTGAATTATTTATAACAACATTCAAGGGCTATACAAAATTATCAATATCAGATAGCCAATGAGAAGCACACATATCTGTTATATACCAAATTATTGTGTGGGCCTTATTTGTCCTGTGAGCCTGTTCCCCATCAATGCTTTTAATAATATTCCAACGAAAGAATCTACTTATCTTAAATTCTGGAATTTTTGGGCCGGGGAGTGGAATCATTTGAAAGTCGATTTGAAGCAAAAGGATTGATGAAGGGCCTTTAGAATTCTGTGCAGCAATAAACACATTACATACAGCTTTGGTATAGATGCTGTAAGACCTGTAACAAAGACAATGACAAGATGTGTACAGCAAGTAGATGTTGTTGAATACAAGTAGTAAAAATGGATGTCTTTTCTTGTTCTGTATGTTAACCAGAAAGCGTTTCCACTTTCAGTATAATATTATCTATCATCTTAATTTAAATGGCATTTATTTTGCTAATGTATGTTTATTGCATGACCACTTAGTTCAGCATTTTCATCATGAAGAGATATTGAAATTTATTAAGTGCTTATTCTGAATCTGTTGAAACAATCATGGTTTAATTCTTTATACGATTATTATGCATTTCCTGTTTATTGATTTGCATTTATTGCATCTTGAGATCCTATTTGATTATTTTTTTTGAGGGGTCCGGTCATGGGGCCTGAAACTCTGGGCCTGGGCGCTGTCCCTCAGCTTTTCAGCTCAAGGCTAGCGCTCTACCACTTGAGCCACAGCGCCACTTCCAGCTTTTTTCTTTTTGCTTATGTGGTGCTGAGGAATGGAACCCAGGGCCTCAGGCATGCAAGGCAAGCGCTCTACCACTGAGCCACCTTCCCAGTCCCCCATTTGATGATTTTTTTTGCCAGTTCTGGGGCTTGAACTCAGAGCCTGGGCACTATCCCTAAGTTTGTTTTGCTTGAGGCTATCACTCTACCACTAAGCCACATTCCCAGCCCTTAATGAATTTTAAATGCACTATAGTTTTAGGTTTATTTATTTATTTATTTACTTACTTATTTTTGTCGGTTGTGGGGCCTGAACTCTGTGCCTGGGCGTTGTCCCTGAGCATTTCAGCTCAAGGCTAGCATTGTACCACTTGAGCCACAGCGCCACCTCCTGCGTTTTCTGCTTATATGGGCCTCATGCATCCTACCACTGAGCCACCTTCCCAGCCCCTTTAGGTTTATTCTTATTGAAAATATTTGCATGTATGTTCCTCAAAACTACTGGTCTTTCATTTACATTTTTTGAACTCTGGGCCTGGGCGCTGTCCCTCAGCTCTTCAGCTCAAGGCTAGCGCTCTACCACTTGAGCCACAGTGCCACTTCCGGCTTTTATCTTATGTGGTGCTGAGGAATCGAACCCAGAGCCTCGAGCATGCAAGGCAAGTGCTCTACCACTGAGCCACCTTCCCAGCCCCAGTTAGTTTCTTATCTGGGTTTAATATTAGTGTGATACTGGCCTCATTTGTTTCCAAGAAATTCTTTCTTTTTTTTTTTGCCTTAGAGTTGGCATCAATTCTTTCTTAAATATTTAGTTGAATTTAGTAGTGAGTTTTCTTTTGATGGGAGGCTAATTATTACTGATTTAATCTTGACAGAGTTGTTTGTACTCAACATCTTATGCTCATTTGGTTTGATTGCTTGATTAGAGCTCTACCATTTGAGCCATGTCTCCACGCTAGCTGTTTTGCTGGCTATTGTAAAGATGGAGTTTGGGGGGTGGTACTTCTTTTGCTTGGCTAGATTTAAACTATGATCCTCTAGATCCAAGTTTTGTGAATGATTAGGATTACTTGTGTGAGCCACCAGTGCTTGCTTTAATCTTTTTTTTTAATTGTGAAAATACTGTACAGAGGGGTTACAATTACATGGGCAAGATAATGAGTACATTTCTTATCAAGCATTGTAGCCTCCTCCTTTGTTTCCCCCTCCCATCCCCACCCCATCCCCCCACCTAATCCTCCCCACCCCCACCACCAAAGTTGTAAAGTTTGTTTTCGACATAACGACTTGTACAGCTCATTGTTGCAATGGGTCCACCTGTATCCCTTGCTTTAATCTTGATGCTTCCTGATGGTCTATACAAGGTTTGTAGTTCTTTATGATTCAGTCATGTAAGATGAGCATGTGGGGGGTATAGAAATTTTCCATTACTTCTACTGTATCACATTTTAAAATATATTTAAATTTTTAATTATATTTTGTATATCTATGGTGTCAGTTGTGATGTCTCCCTTTTCAGTTCTTATATTTTGAGTCTTCTCTTTCTCTTAGTTTACCTAAGGATTTCTCTGTTTTATTTATGTTTTGGAAGAATCAAATTTTTGTTTAACTGATCCTTTATTATTCTTTAGTTTATAGTTTATTATTTCCACTCGGAGTTTTCTCTTCTTCCTTTCTTCGTGCCTTCTTTCTTTTCTTTTTTCCTTCCCTTCTTCCTTCCTCGCTCTCTTTCTTGCTCAATTTCTTTCTCTACTAATTTTGTGTATGGTTTGTTGTAATATTGTAGTTCCTTGAGGTGAAGTGATAGGTTGAGATTTTTCTTTTTTTCTTATTGTATATTAATTGTACAAAGGTATTTCACTGTGATATTTCCATTCATGCATATATTGTACTTGGATCAAAATTCATTCTCTTTCTAGTATATTTTAGATCTAATTTCCAAATACAGAAAATATTCACCATTTGTCTCTCTAGGCTTGGCTTACCTCACTTAACATGCACAAAGGTGCAATGCCTAAGTGCCTCTTCATATTTTTATAAAGTAATATACATATTGAAATAAGCTCTACAATATGGAAACAAGAGAGCTCTATTTTCTTTTTCTATGTTTTTAGTTTTTGATGATTCTGTCTTCTTTATGTATGGTGTACAAAAATGTGTATCTTCAGAAGGGTTGGGAGAGGGTACAGAACTCAAGGGAAAAAGGGTAAAAAAGTGCAGCAGTGGAGCTCACTGGACATTGATGAAAGTGAACTGTATAATTCCTGGGTGGAGACAGGAGGGAGGGACTGGGAGAGAATAAGGGAACAGAGGACACTGTGTGAAAGGAAATGTACTCATTACCTGACTCATGTAATTGTAATCCTTCTGTATATAACCTCTATAATAACAACAAAGTTAATCAATGAAAGAATTTATAACCTTTATTATGCTTCTTTTCCCCATCCTCCTTTTTAAAATAATTTTAGTGTGTTTCATTTCTCTATTTTCATAAATGTATAGAAACTGCTTTTGTTCATTTTGACCTCCTCTTCCCACTGGTACACTCATGTCATCCATTTATTTCTCAGACCTAGAGTCTACATATGAGAGAGAACACACCATATTTGTTTTTCTCAATGTGGCTTATATTACTTAACATGATGATTTCCAGCTCTATCCATTGTCCTTCAAATAATATAATTCTTCTTTATGTATTCAACCACCTATGAGCTGATTCCCTCATGTAGCTATTATGAATGATATTGCCATAAATATGGATGTTCAGGCATCTCTATTGTATGTTGACCTACATTCCTTCAGAATATATGTTCAGGATAGGTAAAGTTGGATTATATTGTAGTTTTGTTTTTTATTAAAGAATTTATGTACATTTCCACAGTGACTACACTAATTTACATGCCAACCAACAGTGTATAAGGCTTCCCCCCCCCATCCACTTCCCAATGTATATTCTCTAGCATTTGTTGATATTTGATTTCTTCATAGTAGCCATTCTAATTGGGGTGAGATGGAACATCAGTCTCTCTCTCTCTCTCTCTCTCTCTCTCTCTCTCTCTCTCTCGCTCTCGCTCTCTCGCTCTCTCGTCCTATGTCCTTATACTATTATGATATTAGAATAATAATGGCTTTATGAAATGAGTTTGCAAAGCATGTCTTCTCTTTCTATTTCATGGAAAGGTTTAAGGAGTAATGATCTGGTTTGATCCCGAATTGAATCCATTTGGTCTTAGACTCTCCTTTGTTGGAACTCCTGCTTCCTTTGGTAATAATTGCCATTCAGATTCAATATAGTTTTTTTTTTGTCAGTTGTGGGGCTTGAACTCTGGGCTTGAGTGCTGTCCCTCAGCTCTTCAGTTCAAGTTAAGTGCTCTACAGTGTCACTTCCGGTTTTCTAGTGGTTTATTGGAGATAAGAATCTCATGGACTTTCCTGCTCGGGCTAGCTTTGAACTGTGATCCTCAGATCTCAGTCTCCTAAGTAGCTAGGATTACAGGCATGAGCCACCAGCCTGGGCTCAACATAGTTTTTATTTCCATTTTATCATGGCTAAGAATATTGAAAAGTTTTCATTAGTTTATTGTCCATATACTTATTTTAACTGTGTATTCAATTACTTTGCCCATCTACTATTAGATTATTTCTCTCCTATTTGAGTTCTTTATATACTTGCTATTATTACTCACTTCACTTTCACAGGAATAGCTGGCAAAGATTTCTCTCCCATTTTGTAGCCTATCTTATCACTCTGGTAATCATTTCCTTTACTTTGCAGAAGGAAATTTAGGTTAATCTCATTTGTAAATTCCTTTTCTGTTTGAAATTCAACATATTGTTATTGAATATAGGTGTTTGCATTATAGGCTAATAAATAAGTAAATTAAAGACTGCAAATATAGTAGAATATTATGCTGATATTGTGTGCTTTGCCAAATGTTTAATGGCATGGGAAATGCTTATGCTTAAATGGAAATTTGGAATATGAAACCTATATATAAGAAATTGTTTTCTGAAAACATTGTTTAATAAATGGAGAGAAAGTCTAGAGGAAAAGAAACTGAAAAGTTAAAGGAGGTTGTTGTCTCTAGTGACATGATTTATTTTTTTTTGTTTTTACATTGCCCTATTTCCGAATTTTGATCCTGAGTACATTTTTCTGACATCTAAAACTGTGCTTGCCAATGCAATGCATTGCAAAGGACTTTCCTGAGTTACCAGAGTTCTCCTCAAAAGTCGTTTATTATGACTCTGTCTTGTATTTCTGCTGATGTTTTTGTGATGGTCCTGGGGTGAAACAGTGTCTAGGCATTGTCCCTGAATTTTTTTGTTCAAGTTTAGTGCTCTACCAGTTGAACCACAGCTCTATTTTTGGCTTTTTTGGTGCTTGATTAGAGTTGAGTCTTATGGATTTTTTTTGCCTTGGCTGGCTTAGAGCCACAAACCTCAGATCTCAGTCTTCTGAGTAGCTAGGATTACAGGTGTGAGCCATTAGCACCTGACTTCAGCTTTTTCCTAGTAGCAGTTTCATAGTCTATCTTAGAGTCTTTAATTCATTTTGAGGATTTTTATTTGTTTTATTTCTGTACAAGAATATACATTTCTTTTATACCAAACTTTCCAGATAGTAAAATGTAGATGGATAAAAAAATATATGCAGTGATAAAACACACTGACTCTCTAGTCAAAGGACAGCTATAGATTTGAACCTTACTTAAATTATTTCTTATTTTATTATTTTTTTCTTTTTCTTTTTTCTTTTTTTGCCAGTCCCGGACCTTGAACTCAGGCCTGGACACTGTCCCTGAACCTCTCTGTGCTCAAGGCTAGCACTCTACCACGAGCCACAGCACCACTTCCAGCCTTTTCTGTTTATGTGGTACTGAAGAATAAAACCCAGGGCTTCATGCATGCTAGTTAAGCACTCTACCACTAAGCCATATTCCCAGCCCCTTTAATTATTTCTGTATATTTTCCTTTCAGTTTCCTCTTTAGTAAAATAGGTGTTATTAGTAGTTTCCACCCTTCAAAGTTATTGGATAACTTAGATGAAATAAAAATAAATAGCATATACAAATGCTATCTTTTCCGGCACATTGTGACTAATTCTAGATGACAGCTATGATTATTTTGATACTTATGCTAACTTGGAAAATTGTTGATTCATCATGGTATGCAATTTTGGTTTACTGTTGAAATTGAATAATTTCAGTTGAAAGCTGATCTTGACTAAAATATTTGTTAGGTTAATTAGCATATAAATAAATACAAGTCATTTAATATCTTGTCCAATATTATCTGTAAGGATAGCCTAGATAATGCTGTGGTAGCAAACATCTACAAAACATGGTTTAAAGCCACAAATGTTTATATATATATAAAATTTAGGCTTCAGTGTCATTGCACATCAGCAGGAGGCCTTTTAAAATGTAGCCACTTACAGACACCAGTTGAGACATTACCAATCATCTCAAACATACATAATTATTATGTCAGAGGGCAAGCTCTACCAAGGGTTGTACCATATTGTTAAATTCTCCAGATTAGAAATGACCTACTTCTACTTTCAAGTCACTAGCCAGAATAAGTCCTATGCTCCCATCCAACCATGTTAGTGTGAAGAAGGGAAATTGTACCATGTAATTGGAGGGAAAACAATCCAAAATATTTGGAGAATGGCACTAATGACTATCACATCTTTTAACCTTGATTAATGCATGTCTTTCCTTTATTTAGATCCGGAGCACATTGACCATACTGGGCAGCAGCATTTCTGGTGTTTATTACTGCATTGCTATAAACAAGGTTGGCATTGATGAGAGAAGCATGCAGTTCTTTGTTTCAGGTAAACTCTAAAATTGTTAAGATAACATAGTTAAAGCAAGTCTTCTATTATATAGTTTGGCATGTAACTATTATATAGTTTGGCATGTAATTTTGTTTAGTGACATGCTCAAATATAAGCTAGGAGGCATGCCTACAAATCTATCACTGAGAGTTCATTGTTTAAGGTTAAGGCAAAATCCTGCTGAAATAAAAATACCCTGATAGAGACAGTACATTAAATCACTATTAGCCATTTAATGACTAGGCACTGTCTCTTAGCTTTTTCATTCAAGGCTGGTAAAACAAAGAAACAAAAAATAACTTCATTTCCAAACACTAGTATCAATCCATACATATTTACAAATAAGCTGAGCACTAGTGGTTCAAGCCTGTATTCCTAGCTACTCAGGAGGCTGAGATCTGAGTCAGTTTGGGCAGGTAAGTCCATGAAACTCTTATCTCCAATAAACTACTCAAAAAAGCCAGAAGTGGTGCTGTGGCTCAAGTAGAGTACTTGCCTTGAGCAAAAAGAAGCTCAGGGAAGTGCCTAGGCCCAGAGTTCAAGCCCCAGGACTGGGGCTTGTTTTTAAATGTATTTACAAATACACAAACATTCTGGGTTTATTTGTGTGTGTGTGTGTGTGTGTGTGTGTGTGTGTGTGTGTGTGTGTGTGTGTGTGTGTGTGTGTGTGCTGGGACTAGGGCTTGAATTCAAGGTCTTTCACTTGGCTTTTTCACTCAAGGCTGCTACTCTACCACTTGAGCCATTAGTTTTTATGCTCAAGCCTAGCACTCTGTCTCTTGAGCCACGGCTGCATTTCCAGCTTTTTGGTAGTTAATAAGAGTCTCATTGACTATCCTACGCAGCTGACTTTGAACTGCGATGGTTAGATCTCATCCTCCGCATTAGCTAGGTTTGTAGGCATCAGCCACCAGCACCTGGTAGTCTATTTTGTTTTAAACCTTGCTTCTTCTTCTTTTTTTCCTTGTCATTATATGACCTTGAACAAGTCATTTCAGCTCTCTGATCCATTTTGTAATCTATACAGATTGGAAGAATGTATATATCCTCTGTTGCCCACTAGTTGGCTCAGTGGGCAGGCAGTACATATTTACTCTGTGTACCCTCTTCCTACTTTATTCATTTGGGCTAACAAAACTGAGAGAAATGTCAACAAAGAATAAAACCTAAAAGGAGAAATGAGATCAAATTAAGAACCTGAATCATCAGTTCTTAACTATTCAAACAGGGTGGAAGGAATGTTGGTCACTAGAACAAAAGGCCTAGTACTTCTTGCCACTAGTTAATGATGTTATAATGATGATCGCAATTAGGTTTATTATACATGTGATTTAAGATAAGCAAGCACAACTTCATGAATGAAAAAGGGTAATCACATCGACTAATCTCTTTGTCTGGAATGTTAATGAAAATCTTTAAAAAAAAATTATAATCTGAGCCGGGCACTGGTGGCTTATGCCTGTAATCCTAGCTACTCAGGAGGCTGCGATCTGAGGACGACAGTTCAAAGCCAGGCCAGGCAGGAAAGTCTGTGAGACTCTAATCTCCAATAAACCACCAGAAAACCAGAAGTGGCGCTGTGGCTCAAGTGGTAAAGCACTTGGCTTGAGCTGAAGAGCTGAGATACAGCATCCAAACCCAGAGTTTAAGCTCCATGACCGGCAAAAAAATATTATAATCTGGTCCTAGATTTCTGTTTGTTGGCAGACTTTTTATTAAGGGCTCCATGTCACTAATTGCTACTAGTCTGTTCACATTTTCTTTATCTTTGTGGAAGTTTGGGTTAAACATACATACATACATATATATACATATATATAAATATCTTACAAGTTATCCATTTCTACTAACTTTTCCAACCTTTAATTGCTCCTAACAGTATTTTTAAATTTCTGTAACATTTGTTGTAATTTCTTCTTGTTCATTTGTGATTTTCTAAGGATATCTTCCTCAACATATAAAATTAGTAATATTTTAGCACATTAATAGCAAGATTGGTTAGGAACAAGTCATGAAAAAAGCTCATAACAATAGCAGAGTACTCACCCAAAAGAGACACTGAGGAAATAGATACATTATAATGCCTAATGATACCCTATCAGTATATACAATTTTTATGATTTTATGTATAAGTTTTAAAATTAAAACTCAGGGGCTGTGAATATGTCCTAGTGGTAGATTTCTTGCCTAGCATACTTGAAGCCTTGGGTTCAATTCCTCAGTACCACATAAATAGAAAAAGCCAGAAGTGGCACCTTGGCTCAAGTGGTAGAGTGCTAGCCTTGAGCAAAAGAAGCCCAAGACAGTGCCCAGGCCCTGAGTTCAAGCCCCAGGACTGGCAAAAAAAGTAAATAAAAATTAAATTAAATTAAATTAAAACTCAGAACGTGATAACGAAAAAGGGAAGCAAGAGAGCAATATAAATTGTGATAGAAAATATGAATATGATCTGAGTACATTTTATGCATATATGGAAATATCAGTATACATTATATATTAGTAAAAAAGAAATTAGACCCTAATTTCTCAACAAATTACAAAAATCAACTCAAAGTAGTTTAAAGTCTTAAGTGTAAGATCTGGATTAATGAAACTTCTGGAAGAAAACATTGCAGAAATGTTTCAAGACACTGGAATAAGCAAGGATATTTTAGGTAAGAACCCAAATTTCAGGAAACAAAAAAAGTAAACGTATCAAACTATGGAGTTCTTTTCAGCAAAGAAAAGAATCTCCAGAAACTGTATATCTGGTTATGGGTAAATATTTATGGCATTAAAAATTACTAAACTAAAAAAAGGAACTAAAAGAAAACCTCAATAGCAAAACCAAATAATCTGATTTAAAAATGAAAATTAGACCTACCTTTATGTGTCTAAAATGAGAACATGCAACTGATCCACTGATATATGAAGAAGCAGTGGAAATTAAACCCAAAATGAGATAATATGTCACTCTAGTAAGAATGACTAATATCAAAATACAAAATAAAACAAACATTAAAAAAACTCCAAAGTACTAAAAGGGATGTGGAACAGAAAAGGTATCTTTACATACTTTTTTTTTAATGGAAATTAGTACATGAAGTTTGCAAAATAGTATGTAAATTCCTCAAAAATTAAAACTATAACTACTGTGTGATTCAACAATCTCACTCTTGGTGTGTATACAAAGAGAATGAAATTGGTATTTTGAATAGATATCTGCACTACCACATTCATTACAGCATAATTCACAACGATGATAAATGCACAAGGAGAATGTAATAATAAAGAATGGACCACTATTTAGGATAAAATCATGTCATTTGTGAAAACATGGATGGACCTGGAGACTTATTTTTAAATGAAATAAGCTAGGCATGAAAATATCAGTTCTCCATGATCTCTCTTTCTCTCTCTCTCTCTTAGAATCTAAAATCTTTGATTAAAGTACATTGAATGAAAGTATCGCAGTGAAGTATGTTTGTACACTAACAAGAAAGAAATTAGACCCTTATTTCTCACAAGTTACAAAAATAAACACAGGATACAAAAATAAACACAAATAGGATGAAAATCTTATAAGACCTGGAGTAGTGAAACTTCTGGGACAAAACATGGCAGGAATTCTCCAGGACACAGAAATAGAAGAAATTTTAGGAAAGGGGAAAGGGAGTAGACAAATGAAGAGAGGATGGGGTGTTGCAGTCCTCAAATCCAACATTAAAACTAAAGGGAAGGGGTGGGATAGGAAGGGATGGAGAATGATGAAAAAAGTTAACATTGATCAAGGTGCATTGTTATTTATTAATTACTTTGTTGAATGGCACCTTTTCTGTGCAACTACTACTTAAAGATAATACAAATATTTAGAAAAAATATTTTAGGCAACATTCACAAAGAGAGGCTAAGAAGAGACTAGAGGAAGGCTGGAATTGGGAGAGTTTAATCAGTTTGCCATAAGTTACAGTCATTAATGAGAAGTTCTGGTATGATTGTTCATAGTAGGGTGACAACACATAATGGTGATAAACTCATACATTTAAAAAAGCTAGGATAAAGAATTTTGCACATTTTTCCCATTAAGAATGATACATGGTGAGATGATAGATAAACCTGGCTAGATAGATTTGATACCTGATGAGATGATAGCTAAATCTGATAGATTTAACCTGGTTTGAACACTATATATATATATATATATATATATATATATAAAATCAAATCTACCTTATCTGTGCGTACAGTTTTATAATTTTGTGCATCAGTTTAAAAATGCAACTAAAAATGTGACAATGAAAACTTGGGGTGGTTTGGTATCTGCTACTTTATTTATCTTTGAGGGTGTATGTTTTCTTTCAACAACTTAGCTTTCAAGAAAGAAAAGAGAACAGGGCACTGGTGGCTCATGCCTGTGGTCCTAGCTACTTAGGACTCTGATATCTGAGGATTGAGGTTTGAAGCCAGCCTCGGCAGGAAAGTCTATGAGACTTTTTATCTTCAATTAACCAGCAGAAAGTGGAGCAGTGGCTCCAGCAGTAGAACTTCAGCCTTGAGAGAAACAGCTAAGGCCTTGAATTCAAACTCCTGTACTGGCGTGTGCATACATGTACACACACACACACACACACACACACACACACACACACACACACACACGCTCAAAATGTCAGGGAAGGGAAAATGTTCTTACATAGCATATTCTCTTGCTTGGTTATCTTCCTAATATTTCTTTACTTTCACAGATGTGGCTGATTTCGTGGAAGCAGAACCTTTAGTGTCTACAATTGAAGGCTATGATGCTCGGCTCAAGTGCAAGGCAGCTAAATATATATATAATCAGCTTGCTTGGTTCAGCCCCTCTGGAGAGAAGATTCCTGTTACAGACACTGAAAGTTTCAGAACTAACTATTCCGTTTTATCAACTCTGGTGATTAAAAATGTGACACAACAGGATAAGGGACAGTACAAGTGCAAGGCTTGGACACAGATGAACATAACCAAAATGATGCAGCGCAATACCCAGCTCGTAATTAGAGGTAAAATTGGAAATTTTTTTCTTTTTTTCTTTTTTCTTTTCTTTTTTTGTCGGTCATGGGGCTTGAATTCTGGGCCTGGGTGCTGTCTCTAAGCTCTTCAGCTCAAGGTGAGTGCTCTACTGCTTGAGCCACATCTCCACATCTAGTTTTCTAGTAGTATATTGGAAATGAGTCTCTTAGACTTCCCTGCCCAGGCTGGCTTTGAACCACAATCCTCAGATCTCAGTCTCTAGTATACCCAGTATTACAGGCATGAGCCACCAGTGCCCAGCGACCATTGCTTTTTTATTCTTTATAGTGTAGGTTCGTTACCCATTGTTTCCTGATGTCTTTTAGACACATTCCAAGGAAAATATTTTTTTATGAATTTTGACTCTTGGTATATAAGTTATAGAAAAATTTGGAGATATAATTAATCCTGATATAAAAAGTTTTAAAAAAACTCACTTTTCTAACTTGAGATAGCTCAAGGATTTTTTTCTCACCCATCTTCCCTTCTTTTGCACATGGTAATTCTTTTCCATACACATGTCTAGTTCAATATGAAGAGTACAACAGACATCAAATATCATATTTGTGGTACCCTGCCTCATTATCAGCCTTTTTATCCTGGTTTCTACAGAAAGAGTTGCCCCATTCATTATTGAGAATCTCACCAATATTGAAGTCAATACTAGTGGGAAGATTTTACTAAATTGCAAGGTGGATGGAGTGCCATGCCCCCAGATCCACTGGTTCAAAAATGGAGTTCCTGTTCTTCCTGCTGTAGGTGAGTCTGAAATTTTGTGTGATTCTAAGGACTTATCAAGAGGCTTTTAGTTTTTTATAGCTACTTCAGATTACCTTGACTTGGAAACCATTGCTAGGCTGGATTCCAGCACAAATATCTCATATAATAACTACAGCATTGTTAATTAACACAGGAATATTCTTTAAGAACAACACTCTAATTATTGAGAGAGCCAAAAAAGATGATGGGGGCCTATACTTGTGCAAAGCAACCAATGAGTTGGGAGAAGTGAGCACAGCAGCTTTTATCACTGTGGAGGGTAAGTTGGAACATCTTGGCTACATTGGTAATCAGTACTACAATTTGATTGGATTTTTATAAAAGGAATTTGGAGGTGGAGGAACAGTATGGAACAGAGGAAATGAGCATACACAAAAGTATTCTGTATATCTACTTTAATTAAGAGGGTATGTGGAATGATAAGGTTTGGAAAGTGATTTTAGAACCTTAAACTTTCATTTGTTGTCATTGTATACAAGTTTGTTCAGCCTTTCTGGTTTTTACTTTTCTCATTTGTGAAATGAAAATAATACCAACTGCCTTGTCTATCTCTCAAAGGTGATACAAGCGAAGGTAGATATAGTAATGCCTTACAAGTTATGATTTATCAAATGAGAATAGTTCCTTTTGGCTTGTTGAAAAATATTGAGTAGTGCTTGGAAATATAAACATAGAATGTTATACCTATGAGTACATTTGTAATATACATGAGACACAAAAAATAAAATACTTGCTGAAGGTTATGGTAAATTTTTGTTGTCTTCCAACTTTTTGTGCTACAATAAGGGAAATAACAAAATGCTGAAATAAGGATACAGGTTGACCCATTGTAACAACGAGATGTACAAGACACTATGTTGAAAATGAGCTTTACAACTTTGGCCGGGGTAGGGAGGAGTTGGGAGGTGGGGAAGAAAGGGATGGTAGGGGAAAAACAAAGGAGGAGGTAACAATGCTCCATAGGAAATGGACTTATTGCCTTACTCGTGTAACTATAACCCATCTTTACAGTATCTTTACAATTAAAATATATTTAAAATGTTTATTTGTTATAGGCTACACTCTATTCAAAGCTACCACTCAGAGTATGAGTCTTGATATTCCAAGAGTCACTTTTTCATCTAGCTATATGGGGCACAGCAGACAAACCCTGTTATCTGGATTAACCATATTGTCCCCCATTGCTTTAAGATGGTCTGTAAGGTTTACATAATAAGAAACAGAAAACTAATAGCAATGCAACTAGTTTAAATATGTTATCTGCTAGATAAGTATTAATCATTTCTCATTTAGCACTTGTTTAACATGTCTGATAGCTAAGTGGTATTGTTCCCATTTTTGTTGTGCTTGTACTGGGGCTTGAACTCCAGGCCTGAGTGTTGTCTGTGGCTTTTCTGCTCAAGCTTGGTGCTCTACCCTTTGAGCCACAGCTCTGTTTCTGGCTTTTTGGCGATTAATTGGAGAAAAGAGTTTCATACATTTTAATATGTATATTGACTTTGAACTATGATGCTCAGATCTCATCTTCCTGAGTAGCTAGGATTAGAGGCATAAGCCATTGGCACCTGGCCCCATTTTTTTTTAAGAAGTTGCAGTGATGGGAATCAAGTGAAGGGCTTTGAATATTCTAGGCAAGCACTCTAGCACTGAACTAAATCTTCAGACCTTCAATGCATCCGTTTTTTTGGTCGGTTGTGGGACTTGAACTCTGGGCGTGGGTGCTTTCCCTCAGCTCTTCAACTCAAGGCGAGCACTCTACTACTTCAGCCACAGCTCCATGTCCTAACTCCAATATTTTTAATGTGGGAAAAATGAGCTTTGGGGAAATGATAGGTAACTTGCCCAAATCCCCCAACTGATGAGGAAAGAGCCAGGATTTGAATTTAGATAGTGTCAGGCCCTAGCCACCACTATACTATCATTGTCTTAACCAGCTAATAAGCAGAGAAAAGTATAAATATTTCACTTTTGTTTTCTTGCCCATATGTTGGAAATATATGTACATATACATATGCAATATAAGCCTTCAGCCCATTGTTTTGAGTCACCCAGTACAATAATCTATGTCTCATAAGGAAAAACTTACACTTCATAAAAATATCATATACAGAATTTGATGATTTTTTTTCCTTAGTAAGTTCTGTTTTTAACCTGTCCACAGTTTCTGAAGAGAAATCCAATATTGAAGTCATCATTCTTGTTTGTACTGGACTCACAGCTACACTTTTCTGGCTTCTTCTAACTTTGATCATTCGCAAACTTCAAAAGGTAAGAAAAGAAGGTATTGAGACCTTAGGGCTTGCTCATGTATGGTTTAGATAATCTAAATAGAGAAGTTGGTGTAAATTTTGTCTCAGAACAGTCAGTTCTTATCTAGGCAGCAGAGGGTATATGCAAATAGTGTATGTGCATTTACACTTGGGATTCTAACATGCTGAAGTTTTCACTGTGTACCATCAAAAAATCAGTAACTAATGTAAGAACACAGGTATCTGCTCAGATTCCATCCTTAATTTTTATTTAATTCTGTCTGTAATCATTCTTGATGAATTATAACATACAGTTAGGTTGGTGTTTAAGATTTATACTTACCACATGATATCAATGCTAATACTTATTGTAATGTTTTCATAAACATGGATTAACATACAGTTGTCAAAGCTAAAGCTCTTTGAGTACCTATGTTCCCATGCTGATTTTCTTTTTTCTTTTCTTTTTTCCCCCTTTTTTGTTCCATCTTGGGGCTTGAACTTAGGATCTAGGTGCTATCCCAGCTTTTTTTGCTTAAAGCTACCAGTTTAGCCACAGCTCCACTACCAGCTTTTTGGTAGTTTATTGGAGATAAGAGTCTCATGGACTTTCTTGCCTGGGCTGGCATCAAATTGCAATCCTCAGATCTCAGTCTCCTGAGTAGCTAGCTAAGATTACAGATGTGAATCACTAGCTCCTGGCTCATGCTTTCTTAAAACATTTTTAGAACATGGTAAATTATACAATATTTGAAGTGTTTCATTGTGATATTACATACATGAATGCAATATACTTTGATCATATTTACTCCTATTACTTTTTCATATCCCCCTCCCACCATGAAGCCTTCATCTTCTTTTCTGGTATTTTTTTAATGAGTTTTTTTTTTTTATATTGGGACTGGAAGTTGCATAGAAGACCTTGCACTGCTAAGCAGGTTCTCTTCCATTTGACTCAGTCTTTAAATTAGTTTCATTATGATGCACGTGGTGCATGCATGCATGCGTGTGCAAGCACCTGTACTGTGGCTTGAAATCAGGACCTCAGGTTCTTCATTTGGCTTCTTCTCTCAAAGCTAGTACTCTAACACTGGGGGTGGGGCACACTACCACTCTTGGCCTTTTGTTGGTTATTTGGAGATGAGTTTCATGGACTTTTCTGCCTGGGCTGGCTTTGATTGGGATCTCCAGTTCTCAGCTTCATCAATAGCTAGAATTACAGGCATGAGCCACTTGTGCCTGTCTTCATTATCACCTGCTCATACATGTACACATTGCACTCTCACTCTAATTTCTCTTTACTATCTCCCACTGGTTCTGTTCCCAAATACTAACACAGTTTTTTGTTTTAAAGGTATTTTTTGATGGGGCTGGGAATGTGGCTTAGTGGTAGAGTGCTTGCCTAGTATGCATGAAGCTCTGAGTTTGATTCCTCAGTATCACATAAATAGAAAAAGCAAGAAGTGGTATTGTGCCTGAAGTGGTAGAATGCTCACCTTGAGCAAAAGAAGCTCAGAGGCAGTGCCCAGGCCCTGAGTTCAAGCCCCAGAACTGGCAAAAAAAACCCCCAACTTTTGTTATTTTTATATTTATTGGCCATTTATAGCTTTTCATCCTTCTGTCTCTTTTCTCTTTCTTTCTTTTCTCCTTCCTTCCTTCCTTTCTTCCTTCCTTCTTTCCTTCCTTCCTTCCTTCCTTCTTTCCTTTCTTTCTTTCCTTTTTTCTTTTTCTTTCTTTCCTTCCTTCTTTCCTTCATTCCTTTCTTCCTTTCTCCTTCCTTCCTTCCTTCCTTCCTTCCTTCCTTCCTTCCTTCCTTCCTTCCTTCCTTCCTTCCTTCCTTCCTTCCTTTCTTCCTTCTTTCCTTCCTTCCTTCCTTCTTGCTGGTACTGGGGCTTGAACCTGGGGCTTGAACTGTCCTTTAGTTTTTTTTCTGCTCAAGGTTAGTGCTCTGCCACTTGAGCCACAGTTCCACTTTTGGCTTTTTTTGCTGCAAATTGGAGATAAAACTCAGGGAATTTCCTGCTTCAGCTTGTTTGGAATTGTGATCCTCAGACCTCAGCTTCCTAAGTAGCTAGGATTACAGGCATATGCTACCAGTGTTTTGCTTTTATTTATTTTTTCTGTAGGTGTAGATTCTTAACCTGTAAGAAAACACGAAGTATATGCTTTTTTTTTTTTTTTTTGGTTGGTCGTGGGGCTTGAACTCTGGGCCTAGGTGCTATCTCTCAGCCCTTCAGCTCAAGGCAAGTACTCTTCCACTTGAGCCACAGCACCACTTCCGGATTTCTGAGTAGAGATAAGAGTCTCTCGGACTTTCCTGCCTGGGCTGGCTTTGAACTGTGATCTTCAGATCTCAGCCTCCTGAGTAGCTAGGATTACAGGTGTGAGCCACCCAGCTCCTGGCCAGTATATGTCTTATAAGTGTTTTTTTTTTTTTCACTTAAAATACCTCCAGCTCCATTCTTTTTCCTGAAAATTATATGATTTTGTTCTTGTTTACAAGTGCTTATTGATTGATTGATTGATTGATTGATTGGTCTGACGGTCACTTGTGGGGCTTGAACTCAGAGCCTGGCATTGTCCCTGAGCCATTTCACTCAAGGCTAGTCCTCTACCACTTTGAGCCATAGCTCTACTTCTGGTTTTCTGGTGGTTAACTGGAGATAAGAGTCTCATAGACTTTCCTGTCCCATGCTGGCTTTGAACCACAATCCTCAGATCTCAGCCTCCTGAGTAGTTAGGAGTACAGACTTGAGCCACTAGTGCCTGGCTTATTTTTTTTTTAATTAAAATTTTATGACCAGGTATGTTGAGGTAGTGCTAGAGTTGATATATAGTTTCGCACTTCTGGGCAGAGTATATAGCCTTATAGCCAAAGATTCACCCAATTTTCAAACACTCCACTTGATCTCTAACCAACTCGAAGAGGAAAAGAAATGTAGTTCCTAGTTTACAGGTGGGGTCTGTACATGGGCTTAGGATGGGGGCCCCTTAGGAGTCAGGTTTCCCTTTTATGGCTGGTCTATTTCAGGAAGGACTATACCTCAACACAATAAAGGCTATGCATGACAAATCTATAGCCAGCATTATTTTGAATAGGGAAAATCTCAGGGCATTTCATCTAAAAGCAGATATGAGATATCTATCCACCATCACCATTGTTATTTAATATTGTGCTTGAATTTGTAGCCATAGCCATAAGGTAATAGATATTAATAAAAGGAAGACAAATAGGAAAATAAATAATCAAAGAATCTCTGGTGTCAGATGACATGATCTTGTATTTAAAAGACCATGAAGAGTCTACTAGAAAACTTTTAGATCTGATAAAAAAAAATTTCAGCACAGCAGCATGATACAAAATCATGCTTTTCTATACACTGGCAGTGAACTTGAATTAGAAGTCAAGAAAGAAATCCTAGCCAGGCGCCAGTAGCTCACGCTTGTAATCCTAGCTACTGAGGAGGCTGAGATCTGAGGATCACGGTTCAAAGCCAGCTCGGGCAGAAAAGTCCGTGAGACTCTTATCTCCAATTAACCACCAGAAAACCAGAAGTGGTGCTGTGGCTCAAGCGGTAGAGCACTTGCCTTGAGCTGAAGAGCACAGGAATAGCACCCAAGCCCAGAGTTCAAGCCCCACAACTGATTTAAAAAAAAAAAGGAAAAAAGAAAGAAATGCTACTCATAATACCTTCAAAAAGTGTTTTGGCATAAACTTAAATGCTCATTTATAACAAACACTAAAACATTGAAGAAAGAAATTATAGGAGATGATGATGAAGCATTATATTTACATATACATTTACATATAATGTAAATATATGGACAGAACAAATAATGTTGAAATGACCATACTATCAGAGGCATTAAGCAAATGTAATATAAATTCGAGGAAAATTCAGTTGACATTCTTCATACAAATAGAAAACCTAAATCCTAAAACTTATATAGAAACACAAAAGACCCTGTTAATCAAAGCAGTCCTGAGCAAAATAAGCCATTATGGAGTTATCACAATAGTACATAGCAATAAAAGAAAATGGTATTGGCACAAAAACCAGACAAATATATTAATAGAATACAAAACAAGATATAAGCAGTGGTGCTGTAGCTCAAGTGGTAGATCACTAGCCTTGAGTTGAAGGGCTGAGGTACAGCATTCAGGCCCAGAGTTCAAAGCCCCACGACCAACCAAAAAAACAACAACAAAAAAAGCAATAAAAAAAAAAAAAACGCCAAAAACAAAAACAAAAAACCAAGATATAAGCTCAAGTAGGTACTTCCATCTTATTCTTCACAAAGTTGCCAAAAACATGTACTAGAAAAAAGTCTTTTAACCAACTGTTTCTGGACAAACTGGATAGCCACCTATAGAAGATTAAAATTAGGTCTCCATCTCCTATCTTGTAAAACAATCAGTAAATATGGATCAAAGCCTTTAATATAATAATTAAGATTTTAAATCTACAGGACAATATAGGTGAAACACTTCAAGATACAGATCTAGGAGAGGAACTTCTTTTATTTGGGGTCGTAGGGATTGGTACAAAGTAAAAAATGTATTCCTCCATCACAAATGAAAACAGGTTACTTGTTTGGGTTGCTCACCAGTCCTTTTTCTTTGATTATTCTGCCACCTAGTGGTAATATTTTTGTAACACAGGCAAGTCTAGGAAGAAAAGTATAAACTGTCTGGTAGCTAGCATCCTTTAATCAATATCTCAGGACAAGGCGGAATCTCATCCAAGCATCAACCAAGTCAGGATTAAGTTTCCTCCTCACACCTCACATCCTTCACTCTATGTTCTCTTTTTATTTCCCTTTTTCCAAATATATATGGATCATTTGACAAAATAGGTATTAAACTTGAAAGGAGACTTAAAAATCTCCCTGTCTAGTAGAACACTAAATAAGCATTTGAATAAAGGAATTTACAAAGAAGATTAAGTATACTTTTTCCTGATTAATCCTCCAAAAGAAGCAAGGGTCTATAGATGAGGAGGCAGGGAAATTATATAT